AGGTAGCCGACCAAAGATTCAAGAACCATGCGGTAAGGGCCATCGAAAGCTAGTAAATCCACATCGTTGACCCTCTCTCTGATGTCTTCACTCAAGGCATCGCTCACGAGACGATCTAGTCCTGACGACAAATCTGACTGTGAGATATCTAGCCTTTGCCTCATCTTTTTAAGTTGGTCTCTAAAGTCGATGACGCCGCATCCGATCGTCGCCATGGTTGTGAGCGCCATGTCTTTGTCGACCACAGAGTGCTTGGTCCCCTGATCATCCACGAGTATGGTTCGCATACGGACTAAGAACATCTGTAAAAGAACAACGGCAGCTGGCCATTGAGGAGAACCAAGGACGTTACAGAAGTCATCTATGAACAAGTCCAGAAGATTGCGGAATGGTTTGTCGCCCGATTTAGAAGTGTTCGATGCTTTGTCACAAAGTTCCTTCACGATGTATGAGGCTTCAGCGGCAGCCTCCGTGCTTAGTCTCTGAGCTTTTACCGCAGGCGATTCGCTGCCGTTTGCTCTTTTTGAGTTCTTGAGGGGTGCTTGACCAGGCTCGTAGTCGCTAACATCGTCCTCGGCCATGTTCGCAAGCACGTTGTCTGCCTGTGACGCAGTACGAGTGGTCGGATTTGTTGCGACAACCTGAACGAATCGCATGAACAGTGCAGATATCGTCATGATAGGAACTTCTCGAGCCGACAAAAACTGCCTCGCGCTCGCTTTCTTATCGGGCAGCTTTTCTAGGTTGCCGAGGATACCATTCACAATGGATCGTCGTTGGCCTGGATGGCGAGCGAAAATCTGGGCAAGAACATCCATAGCTTTCTGGCGGAAATGTTCAAACTTCTTGATGGTAAACACAGAGTCTCTTTCGCTTTCGCTGTTCTGCTCCACCAGTAACTCCAGCGTCAGATACTCCAAGGTGTTGAGTGCTCGATCTGGCAGGTTATATTTGCCAATCAGAGTAGCAAAACGGGCAAGAACAGCTCCACACAGTCGTAACACCACCTGTAACTCTTGTCTGTAAGCTGATGCCGCATTGAACAAATCTTGAGCCTCGCCAGAACGCCGTGATTGAACGATAGGAATGATGCACGAGTCCTTGATCAGCTTCGTAAGATCAATGACGGTGTCGATGATGTCCTCTCGTCGCATTCGGTAGTCGTCACGGCCCTCGATCATGGTTTCCAGCAAAACTTTGGATGATTTTAGTGCAAACTTGGCTGTTGCGACATTCTCTACAAGCTCCGAGTTACCCTCATCCCGGGGAAAGAGTCCATTCTTGGTCGTAGACACGACAGCCGGATGCAGGAGTGATTGTATCTGCATGGCCAGATCTACGGAAAGCACGTTGAAGCGACCAAGGCCGACTACACCAGACATCTTCTCGGAAAGAGTGTCCATTGCCCGGTGCTTCAGGATGCTGAATTCGCCGTCAGAAGTCATGACTTTGGTGAAATGCAGTGAGCCGTCCAGATCATCCTTGTCTTCGGTCAAAGTTGTGACGAAGGATTCCAGCGCCTCAATCTTGCCGTCGGCAATCTCTCGTTCGTGCGGTCTCAACACCGTGACGCCGCTCTCGACTCTGTTGTCCTCCTTCTTTTGTGATAAACTTCCAACGTCGATGTTGTCAATGTACTTGTAGTCCCCGCGTGCGACTGCCTTTGGCTTTATCATGACGGCCGGGCCAGGGGGGCGTACGGGTGTGTTGCTTGGAGCGGAAGATAGAGCACTCGAGGGATATGGCAAGTCCGCGTTGTGTGCGTGGGCATGGCCGTTGGGGGTGGTGGCTGGTGGCGGCGGGGCTGCTACGTGAGCCTGTTGTGGAAGAAGAGAAGGAGCAACAGTGTTTCGGGAAGGAGCGTGTTCTTTTCGAGGTTGTTCGGGTGGCTTGACACTCGGTGCTGTCCTAGTTAGTGGCTGCATGTTCAAGGCGACAAGGAGGCCTACCGATGAAGGCTACATTCGTTTGCTCATAGAGCTTGCGCGCAAATGGACTCAGCCCAGATATGGCATTGGGCGTGTCACCATTAGAGTTCTTGGTAGGGCTGTCTGGTGAAGGGGTCGCTAGCAGTGGCATGGACTTGAAGTGACTGGAAACATTAGGCACGGCTTTCACCTGGGGCAGAGGCATGGACCTACTACTCTGGTAGCTTATCGCGAAGCAGGAGGTTACGAAGCTGATTGAGGGTATCGTGTAGATGCTGGGCTGTGGACTGGCCCTCGATCTCTGCGTTCAAGATTCCCACAGCCTTCTTCGCCGCTTTCTGTTGCTCAGGGTTCAGGGTAGAGGGAGGAGTGGGAGGTTCAGCGGTTGGGAATGGAATTATTTCTGAAGATTGTCAGCCAACCTCTGCGCCAGGTGAGAGAAATGTGCTCTGGCAATGTGCGCAAGTGAAGCAGAATTACTGACCAGGCGAGAAGGGGATGATGGAGGTAAAGGGCGAATACGGAAGGGCCTCGTCCACTGTGGGAGGAGGCCTTCTGTACGGGAGCCCAGCTCCGTTGCCATTGTGCCAGTTGCCATTCATTGCGCTCGTCGTGGCGAGCCCTTGTGTATGCAGACAAGCACAGTGGAGATGCCGTCGTGGTGGATTGGATGGGTCGGGGCATATGGCTATGTGAGCCTACGTGCGCGCATGCTTCTCCCATGCAACTGACCGGTCACTGCTTGATGGAGCTCTTAGTAACAAATTAGGGTGAAAGTCGTATGCGATGCGATGATGGAATGCACGTGGTGGTGCACGACATTCAGACGCGTTCTCACCGCCTACCATTCCTGTCTTAGCTTGGCTGCAGCCGCGGAAGTCGCGATTCCCCGTAACTTTTTTCCTGTACTCCAACACCAACCTCGGAATCACCCGCCTTAAAACGACGAATCGACAAGTCGCCCACAATGTCGGCGATTGGTAGTCTAGTCTTCTGCACTGACTGCGGAAACCTTCTCGACGGATCTGCCGGCAAACAAAATGTCATCCTGACCTGCGCGGCATGTGGAGCGCAATGTAAAGGTATGCGCATCTATGTTGCGCAACGATCGATATAGCCAGGCTGATCAGCGCTAGATACATCATCCAAGACGGTCGTTACAGTTTCTAAGCCTACCGCCTTTCCGTCGTCGTTGCGGGCAAAGAGGTCTGAGGTGCAGACCATTTCCGAAGCCGATGTCCAAACCAGCAGTATCATCAACCATCCATGCGAAAAATGTGGCAGAGAGAAGGTGCGATACTACACGCAGCAACTGCGGAGTGCAGACGAAGGAAGCACCGTCTTCTACGAGTGCGACTGCGGTCACAAGTACGTCGAGAGGTCCGCATGCAGAGCTGAGCTTATGCTAATTGCTATCTTACAGGTGGAATACCAACAACTGAAGCGGATGTTCTGCCTATGGTGGCCATGTTGATTTCTATATACCCAAAACGCCATGTGTATGCAATACCTTCGGTTCTAAGCTGCCACAGCCTGCGGCACGATGGCATACTCCATCTCTCCATTCTTCTCGAACTCTGCCATGTCAAGCGCTACAACTACACTGTCTCGTACTACCTGTTCTGGGTCGTTCAAGAACTTGCGCAAGGTGTCTTCGACGCCTTCTTCGTCGCCCAAACTTCCAAGTGCCTCGGCAGCCTCGTGTCGGACCATGCTTGCCTCCTTTGTGTTACTGAGCGCTTCTGTAAGACTGGGGATGGACGCTGGGTGTGACAACTGCCCAAAGACAAAGGCGATCTCGTGGCGGAAGAGGGCAGATGGATCTGTGAATCCGCGAGCGAGCGCTTGTACAGCCGGGACGGCAGTGGGAAGGTCGGGCGGCGAGGAGAGATCGCGCAGGGCGAACATGGCTCGATAGCGCTGGAACAATGGCAGGGACGTGTCTAGCAGTGTCTTCTCTAGCTCTGGGATCGATGGCTTCTCAGCGCCCTGTGGTAGCGGCGGCGCAGGATCGATGGATGTAAAGTCACTGTTCCTTGTGAGCAACCAGACCGACTATATAGAATCGGACATATCCTACCTCTTCTTCAACTTCTCCTGTCCCTTTTGCAGTCCATGATCCCACTCGATGCGGTCAACGGCGATGTCGCAAGTCTCGCGCACAACGTCGATCTCCTTGACATCGTCCCTCAACGCCCTCAACAGCTCGAGACTGCCCTTGTCGCTCAGTGCACCGAGCGCCTCAGCAGCCTCGTGCCTGCACATGGAATCCTCCCCTTTGTCCTCGAGTACGCCCTTCAACGGTGCGATGGCAGCATCATGGCCAGACTGGCCCAGGCAGTAGGCGAGTTCATGTTTCAACAGAGCTGACGGCGATGCGAAAGCGGCAGCGATGGCCTCGATTGCGGGGACCGTCTGCGCACTGGGTGGCTGCAGACCTGCAAGGTGCTTGAGAGAGAAAAGAGCGCGAAAGCGGCGGGCGAGGGGCTCTGACTCCGAGGTCAGGATATTGCGAAGCGTAGACACTTGGGTATCCTGCTCTGTGGCTGCCATTTTGTTGTTGTAGGAAAAGAGAGTGATTGGAAAAACCTAGTCTTGTACGTAAATGTCTTCCCGATCGCGGCTCGACTCTTTTTTGGCGGGGATCCAAAGATCTGGTGGGGTGTCAGAGTTCCATCTGATTAGATCTTCACCGCAATCTCCAGGCTCCGGCTGGTGCTTGCCGTAGCTGGTTAGGATCCATGTGACAGCGTGGCACGCCAAGTCCAGGGCTGCAGGTGCGGGTGCGCATGCAGGAACAAGCCCTACTTTCACTATGACTCCTTTTCTCCTCGTCTTTGCTCACTGTGAGTGAAGGACGACTAGCAGTTCAACAAGGCGACAAAGAAAACAAAGACGGTACACTGGCCTGCCGCATGGGGGATCGAGCGCGCTTCACTCTCATCTTCACCGCGACTTCGCACATCGACTGGAAGGCCCCACCGAGCTCTTTCCACACGACGTCCACGACCGCCTGTCGACAAACCTAGCTCTGTGCAAGTAAACACAAAACACCACACAAGACTCCTCACCATGGCGTTTCTTCGCGGAATTCCCGAGACTATCTGGAACTATGTCAGTCCGCGCAAGATACAACACCGGCGGGAGAAGCCGTTCGCGTTCAAGGCGCCCGCGATCCCCACCCGAGTCACGACCCTTCCCAAAAAGACCTCACCACTCACACGAGAGATGAGCCCAGAAGTGCCTGTCAAGACATGCGATCCGCCAGCCTCAACTACTCACTTCGACATCGACGCGACCCTGTTGCCGCCGTCGCCTCCAGCATCGGCCGTCTCTTCCAAAGACCTAGAGAGCGACATGCTAGCCAAAAAATTACCCGCCGCGCGAGACGACCAGACAGAGGGCTCTTCTGCCGACTTGTGGGATGCGAACGAGGAAACCATGGTTGTCGATGACGGAACTTACATGATTGCACAGAAGAAAGTGAATCACGACCAAGAGAGGCAAAGACAGGACCAGCAAGCGCGTGAGCTGCGCGATGCTGGTTGGTCTGAGGATGCTGTCTTCCTTTTCCAGAAGCTGGGCATGCGCGGCTTCGAGCCATTGATGCCCATCAGCTGGATCGCTGACCTTGAGACCGTTCCCGCTGACCTCTTCACCGAGAACATCGACAAGGCATTCATCAAGCCAGCCTATGGCACCGAGCACAATGGTATGTTGCAGCCCCATTTATTGCGAGCATGTTACTGACATTATCCAGCACAGTATGCTCTTGAGAGGCTCTTCGATCTGGGCAGTGTCTCTCGTGACGCTTGGCACACGCGGACGAAGCGGGCTCCCCATTTCCAGATTGGCAAGGCCGTCAAGGCGTACACGAGGTGGGCTATGAAGGATGGTGGAGTTGAACAGCTCTGGTCTCACTTCCCGCTATTCCAGACCGTCACCTTCTCAAAGCATGTGCACCCGGCGGTCGGAGAGCGCAAGATGATCGAAAAGCTCGATCGTCTGCACGAGTTGTGGTATGATGCCCTGCAGATCGACCAGGCCACAGACCGAGGAGATTCCAATGTGCCTGAAGTTCCGACACTGTATGGCATTACTGCGACGCACACCGTTATGGCTTTTGTGAGCTACGCGCCTTCGACTAAGAAGAACAAACAGTCTTCTGTGCGTCTACTCGCCATGTACGACTTCATGCAGGAAGGTTGCGATGTCTGGAATTCCCTTGCCATTTCCATCTTCATCATACATTGCAGGAACAGGATGATGCAGCTGAGAGAATGGCTCCCCGAGCCAGAGATCTCAATGGAAGAAGATCCTGATCTTTGAACGACGAGCACGACACAAATTAACGACATGAAAGAAAGGACATGATGAGCCACGTAATGAAGAGATGGATGTGGATTATGAACATCGGATGCGATTTGAACGCGTGGCGTTTTGCTTCGCGATATACCCCATAATGAGCGCAATACCCAATACCCCGTTTTCTTTTTTTTCTTATGTCAGTCTACTGAGCCACAGGTGTTTGGCTGGGGAGAAATGATTGAAGGAGGAAGCTTTACCAAATTGCGGCATCCTGCAAACGATTTCGCTGAAACATAAGTGTAGCGATCAGTGTGGTAGGACGAAGTACATGAAATTGATCAGAGCAATGACGTAGCGATCATGCAAATGACTGAAAGATCCATATAATCATGTTCTCTCGCATGGCTGTGATACTGTCTTGTAGGAATCTCGTAAGCATATTCAGACGTGTCAACTTCGAGACCAGCATCTCGTAGTCCAACGGACCTCATTTCCAGCCTGTCCACTCAACCTTCCCACATACTCCCCAGAGATCACCTTATGTCTGCCCACCTTTGAGGTTCCTAGGCGACTGGCCTTTTCGGCTGCCATTCCCAACCTGCTTGCTGCCGAATTCTCCAAACTTCGAGTTTCTTTTCCAAGGTCTCCATGCAATCTCTGCAATGACCTGAACAATCCAAAACGACTTCGACAGCGACTGGACACGGTAGTCGAAACCGGCTTCCGGGGTCTTTGCCACACATCGTGAATGGGTTCGCGTAGTCTTGTTTGATGTGCTCGCACGCAGTGTACCAGTAGTAGTTGCGTCTGCACATTCTTGTTAGATCCTGGTGTCTGGTGTAGCTATAGGCTTAGAGTTGAACAAATATGACAGAGAGGTTCAAGGCAGAGGAGGTTGTTGATGTTGTTGGCGATTAGGGAAGGTTCATCAACGGTAAACGCTGGAGAGTACATAGTATTCATTCACCGTAGATTGAAACTTATCGTAGTATTGTCGACGACGATGCGAGGTGAAGGTGAGTGTGAATATGCTCTGAGCACTCTAGAGTATGTCATCATGTAGCACGATTCTGACACTTCTAGTATCCCCATAATCTGATGTTGAAGAACACATCATTGAGAGGTATGAAAAGACGGAGATTACCGATCCAGTTGTATATCTTGAGCACACCTATCAGGAACATCTTCTGTCAAAGTGTGTTAGCTCACATGGCTTCGAAGGGATCCGAAGATTTATCCAGTGAATGGTACTTGTTTCTTTGCTGTCTGTACAGACGTCAGCCTTCTGACTACGCTCATCGATGATACTCTTTCTAACGCCTGTTGTATGCATTGTTTCACGCGGTGCAGACTCTCATGTACCAATTTCCATAATTTGACCCTTCATAATCAGCGGTTCAACCAAGCTTCCACGCAATCGCCCTTCACCCACCGGGACAAGCCTGGACAAGACATCTTATACGACACCAAGAGCCTGGGCAAGCAAGGCCGATATGCATTCTCTACATTCTGAAATCTGGGGTGCAGACGGCTATGTACAGGTACCGCAGACGGGGCTTCGTACTATGGTGGGTAAACTGTGATTCGTGCGTTAAGTTTCCCGGAACATCAAGCAGCTTGCAATTCTCCGGGATACGGCTGAACGGCACCATGTGATCATCTCGCGTTCTGCAAGTGCAACCACTGCAGTACGGGTCTAGTGTTCATGTTAGGAAGAAGCATCCGCGGCTGCGCTGACGTGGACGTGATGGGTCGGTCAAGGTTGTGACAGTCTTGTCTGCTGGCATGCAAGGTCTCATCTGCGTGGCCTTGGTAGCGCGATAATTCGCTTTGATCTCTTGGAGTTGTTCAGGTCGCCAAATGCTTGTTTTGAAGATCAAAGATCGTTCCAAAACGGCACTCTACCTAGGATCTCGAGGCACAGGACCGGGAGCGTGAGCGCTTGACCAGGCTGAAAAATCGGAACGTAGCCCAATCATGGTAACTTGCCAGCGTATTTTCGTCTCTGTTCGCTGATCAATCAGCCTAGGATACGGGCGTCATGGTAATGGAAAACAAACACCCGGATATGGGGCTCAAACAAGCTGCAGTGCCGCAGTTGCTTGGCAGCACGCATGGACGCCTACGAAAACTCCTCAGTTCCCTTTCATCTATCACTGTGACATTACCAACGCCATACAATCTATACATGAAATGCTATACTGCATACCGAGCTTCTTGGACATTGAAAATCACGCGGAACGATGTGTAAGAACTACGCCTTTACCGCCACCTCCAAGCGCCACACGTGTCACGCGGCTTCACATAGATTAACAGCTCACGGCTCCACGATTCGGTATTCGAGCCAAGACTCTCTTTAACCGCTGGAAGAATGCAAAGGCGGAGAGCTTGGCGTATGCATGCGAAAGAGATGAGAAACATAGGTGGAGGAGTTCTTGCCAGGACGGCCATAGCGCCGCCATGACCCGAAGCCAGCCCCATAACGGAGATATTGACATCTAAGTTAATGACCGCACGGTCTTGTCCCTTGAATCTTTGTTTCAAGCTACCAGCCAATCAAACCTGACCCATGAGCTGAGATTCCAAAATATCCCGAGCTGCTGTTGATGCTATTGGCTTAGCCCAATCCCTTCGCAGCCATATTTCTTCACGAACGCCAAGCGTAGCATATTAGTGTCCCTTCTGCCTCAGTCCTTGATCTACATCCTAGCTGCTAAGAGACGGACGGCCGTTGCAATGGCGAGAATGTTCGTCTTGGCTTTGCCAGCAGGACCGGGCCTACTCCATTCGACTATCACGCCGCAGTGTAGAATAGCAACGGCTATAAAGCCATCATGAGTCGTCCTCGTAAATCACTTCCACAACTAACCAACTCCCACCGCTTTCAACTTCAGTCTCTTCATATCCAATATGGTGTCCTTTACTTCCCTCATCACTGCTGCTGTTGCTGCGACTGGTGCTTTCGCTGCTCCCGCCACTGATGTAGCTGCTCGTTCCTCCGGCGACCTCGTCGCTCGCCAGAGCACCCCCAACGCCGAAGGAACACACAACGGCTGCTGTAAGTTGAATCACTGATATACGTGTAAGCAGTAGTTGACCAAAGATTCTAGTCTACTCTTGGTGGACTGATGGTGGCTCCAGGGTCACTTACACCAACGGTGCAGGGGGCAGCTACAGCGTCAACTGGGGAAGTGGCGGCAACTTTGTTGGTGGTAAGGGCTGGAACCCTGGATCGGCCCGGTAAGCCAACTCCTTGGAGTAAACAGTTGATGAGAAACACTTGCTGATCATATCAGCACCATTACCTACTCGGGCTCCTACAACCCCAACGGCAACTCCTACCTTGCCATCTATGGCTGGACACGTAACCCCCTCGTCGAATACTATGTCGTTGAGAACTTCGGGTAAGCGATTTCTCTGTACGATTTTCACCTGGGATATATGCTGATTTCGTTGACAGAACCTATGACCCAAGTTCCCAGGCTAGCAACAAGGGTACCGTGACTGCCGACGGCTCTTCTTACAAGATCGCTCAGTCGACCCGTACTAACCAGCCATCCATCGATGGAACAAGGACCTTTCAGCAGTACTGGTCTGTTCGCCAGAACAAGCGCTCCAGCGGATCCGTGAACATGAAGACTCACTTCGATGCTTGGGCCAGCAAGGGCATGACTCTTGGTAGCCACTACTACCAGATTGTCGCTACCGAGGGATACTTCTCTACCGGTTCTGCGTCTATCACTGTGAACTGCCCGTAAGCGATAGAATGACTCCACGGCTTGGTACTTCAAGTAGTCGTAGTGGTGCGGACTTGATGAAGGTGTGTGTCGATATGCGCTTCGCTGGCCTAGCTAGTAACTTCTTTCTGTAAATATATTGTTATGCTAGCTTGCTAGTCAAAAAATGTCAAACTTTTGCCATTCATGATATCGTCTCTGCATCAGCCTCAGTCACTGTTGCCATGTCTTCACAGTATCGGATCATTAAAACGAGTTGCCTAGGCAAGTCTTCTTTTCTGTTTGCCTTACCCTGACCACGGTACCCTTTCAATGTGCTTCCGCAACTATACTGAATACTCTTGTTCAGACCAACATATTCTCCTCAGCTCTACACATCCCTTTACATTATGCAGACTAGCCCAACATTACCCTATACAGCGCCAGTGTAGCAGCATCGTAGATAAACTCCAACTGAGTGAAGAGTGGTGCAAAGATTGCTGGATGCGAGAACACAACAGTACATCCAAACAAGGTGACGAAGGCAAGAAGCTCTGGAATGATCGTTGGCCAGGCGGCGCGAAGTGGTCCGGGTATGCTGGAAACAAAGGAAGGGATATCAAGCGTGATGATGTACCGCAGTAGGTAGCAGTAGTTTGGAAGCATAAATCAAGGACCAAGGTGAGGCATTACTTTGATATACACCTAGGGATTCATGATATTATGATATGTGTGGACAAGAACGTGACAGTTCTATTTCTGACTCAACCCACATTTACTGCATCAGCCAAGACTGCGACAGTGAGCAGCCATACTAGGAGGTCTCCTTATAACAATACCTACCCTACAATTTCGTCACCGTACCCACGCAGCTTCACAAGTCACATTTGAATCTAATTCGCTCCACTTAAGCGATCCAAACATCACAGCGAAGAGTCTGTACTCACCGGTACTGCGTAGTTATAGGCACTACTTCTTGCACACCTACATTCAGTTCTTGCGTGATAGACATTTCACGTATCCAATCAAGACTTACGGCCAGCACCCTTTAGCCGAGCTTCACCAAGAGATCACAAGCGACGAAGATCGGCGAATGAAGTTTCAATACTTGCTCAGCATCCGCAAGGCAGGTCTCAAATTCTATCAAAAATCCCCTAGATGCCTGAGAGAAAGCTGCTGGCTGGCATTATACTGCTAATGAAGGAGCCAGTATTCGGTTCTAAGTGTACCCTCCACAGGATAGCATGTTCAATCCAACGAACGTCCAGAATCGACATCAGTGTATAACGGCATTGTACCCGGAGTTTTCCTCAAAGCTTCTTCGATGATCGATAGAGCGAGGTCGAGCTGCTCCTCCGTGACAGTGATGGGAGGCGCAATCCGGAACACCCCACCAAAAGATGGCATTGTCGCTAGTTGGGCCCAAAGACCCATGTCTACCATCTTCTTTGACACTGCAGCCCCGACTTCCGGGGCGCCAACCTTCGTTTTCCTGTCGCTAACCACTTCCATGCCGGCCATGAGGCCTCGGCCACGTACATCACCGATACAACCGTATCGTGACTGTAGTTGCCTTAGTCCTGCTTGAAGCTTGGCACCGAGTTTCTTGGAACGAGCACAGAGATCGTCTCTGATGACAACCTCAAGAACCTTATCGCCAACAGCAGCTGGAAGAGGATCGTTGATGTGCGTAGTGTAAAACAGGAAACCGTTGTCTTTGGCATGCTGAGCGATGTGGTTCGATGTCATGATGGCGCTGAGTGGTATTCCATTTCCAAGCGTCTTGCTGAGTGTCAGGATATCCGGTACGGTGCCCTCGTCTTCGGGATGGTGTGTGAACGCGAACATGTCACCAGCTCTTCCGAGTGCAGTCTGTGCCTCATCGACGATGAGAAGCATACCTCGTGCTTCACAGTGCATTTTCAATGCCTTCAAGTACCCAGGTGGAAGCTCTAGCATACCGCCACTTGACAATATGGGTTCAATGATAACTGCTGCAAGCGAGCCGCATGATTGTTTGTCCAGAAGATCAAAGCCATAGTCCAGTTCTGTCTTCCAGTCATGCGTACCATCTGGGTGTCTGAAGATCGAACGATAAGAGTTGGGGGTGGGCAGTGCTAGGTTTCCGATCATATTGGGGCCGTAACCAGAACGCCCAGCATGGTATTGAGCACCAAGCGATGCACCCGTCATACCATGCCACGAGGCAGCCAGGCCAACAATCTCCCATTTACCAGTATAGAATTTGGCTAATCGAATAGCGGCCTCATTGCTGCAGGTGTAGAGGTCCGGAGTCAGAGCATGTTTTCTACGTATTTCTCGCAATCACAACTTACCTTTCTCCGCCTGTACTTAGGAAGAATGCTTTGTCAAGCCCAGCAGGCGCGACACCAGTCAGACGCTTTGCCAGATTTATTACTGGAGGGCTCAGCATCCCACTGAAGAGATGATCGAGATGCTGTGCATGCTCTGCGATCACTTTCACGACCTCAGGGTTGTTATGTCCGATTAGAGTAGACATTTGTCCTGAGGTAAACTATAGTTTACGATCAACGTTGACTAACTAGTATGGTCTTGTGCTGCGTGCCACTTACATCCATCATTCGGTGACCTGAGGCAGTCACCACGTGGATACCATCGGTCGAGGTGATGATTTCGGGATGAAATGCGGTTCCATATGTAAGCAAACAATCATCTGCATCGCGCTGGAGCTGGGTAATGTTGGTGTCTGCATATAGAGGAGCCATGGTATCTGTCTGGCTGCGGCTGTGTTGATGATTGAGATAGAGGATAGTTTGGAGTTTTTATGTTCTTCATCGTGCTGGATCTTTGGGAGTTATATACTTAACTGGATACCCGTCCTTCTCCACGGAAATGTGCACATGAAAGCACATTGCTACCTTTTCCGACGGAGACGTTGGTACCATCAAAGGACACGCACGTGATCTCTATCCCGTCGGAAAGAAGGCGACGGGGGTGAGATAGTGATAAGTGATTGATTGGAGCGGTCATGGCGGTGTCGCGGAAGATAACCCCCAGCTAGCTACGGATGGCGGTTGAACCACGATGGTCGCGTCGCGGAAACCGAGAATGCGATCGCGCTCATCCTGAACTTCCTTACATCCTGCTTCTGGACACCGGTGCACTCCATATCGACACAAATCAGTCTTGAGTCAATAACTTGTTTCTGTTTTATCTGAAGACTCCGGTCGATCAAGATGCGTATTGCCCTGGCGACCTCAGCCAGAACTATAAGTTCCCTCTGTCCAGCCGCCGTCAACAAACCACGACGCTTTCGTAACGTGTGCAGCCTCATCACCAAGTAGAAACGCAATAGACCCAGCAATTTCCCATGTTTCTGGGAGTTCACGCTTGAGGATACATGGAATGTTGTCCTTGTTTAGGAAGAACTTCCCTTGTGACGAGTTGAACGGTTCTGTCATCATCGGTGTGTTGAAACAGCCGCTGTCAATGGTCAGCTCAGCTTCTCGTCAGGTACTAGCATCACTCACGGGCACAGCGCGTTGACTCTGACTCGTCTCGATGCTCCTTCAAAAGCAGCAACTTTTGTCAAGCCGATGAGTGCATGCTTAGCTGCGACGTAGGCCGAAGTACCATATGTCGCGTACTACAGGGGTGGAGATACGAAGTCAGCACATGTCCCATATAGCTCGTACTCGTTCAACTTGCCTGGCTCGCAATACTTCCGACGTTCACGATCGAGCCTCCATCCTTGATAACCTTCATCTCTTCTTTCAAGCAATGGAAGGTGCCCACAACGTTCACATTGACTAGCCTGGCGAAGTACTCTGGGTCAAGATCTGTTATGGGGAAGATTTCGCGTTGCTCCACCGCTGAGGATCCGATCAACGACGTCTTCAGTACTTGCAGAGGTCAATCGAGCTTACCTGCAACATTCGCCGCCCCATCGAGCTTTCCAAACTTTGCGACGGTCTCTTCAATCCAAGAGCGAACACTATCGAGGTTGGCAATGTCCACAACACACGTCCAGTACCGGCCCTTGGCATCCGGAAGTTCACCGTCGATCTCTTTGGCAGCATTGGAGAGGTTGTCAGCTGAAGTTGCACACATAGAGACCTACGTAGGCGTGTGTATGTGAAGTCAGTGAATATCTCATATGCAGTTCCTGCAGGGGCATTACTGACAGTAGCACCACGGATGAGCAAGTACTTGCTAAGGGCTAGACCCAGGCCTCGACTGGCTCCAGTAACCGCGATGACTTTTCCCGCGAAAGGAAGGGGATTGACAGCATATGGAAGGGAGTTTACCATGTCGCCCATGATGACACACAAGAGAATATGAAAAGTACAACGCAACACAAGTTCAACAGCAAGCTGCCACACATATACCCTACAGCTACCATTACCTCTTGGGTCATGACTGCAAGCAACGAGTCATCTCAGCACAACTGCGCCGCATATGCACACGTATCATCTTGTGGACAGGGCTGATACTAGGGTCTGTTTCCGCGTGGTAGATGACGTTGGATCCTTCTGTGGGGTGTTAAGATGTGCTATGGCCTGTTCCGGAAATCCCTGCTGGACTAGTGCCGTCCGTCCGCTCTTTATATGCAGATGTGCAGGCATATGCATTTCCACAGCCACATCATCTAAACCGGCATCTCCTAATACAAACAATCCTGAGTTGAACGACTATGACTTACAGAGTCGTGGAGCTCTTGTCGCTGCGGAGTCGGATTACCTTATTCTGGAGTCGAGAACGAATGGAGTATCGGGCACATCGCTGGCTAAAGTCAACAACCCTCAATGCAAGTCAGAATCCTTCCGGTACATCCATGGATTCGGATTAGCTTTGTAGATACATACCAAAAACAGCCTCGCGGAAAGGGATTCACCTTGATTTGGTGACGCATTGGAACCACTCCAGCGGTATCATGTTAGTATGAGGCACAGCAAACCCTGGAGTGCTGATGGATTGAGTCCAAGTCTATAATACGCTTCTCGTGCCTTAGCTTTCTAGCTTCGGACTTGGAGCTACAACTATATCCTAAATCAGCGACAATGAGCACAGCATCAGTTAATGTGGCAGTCCCACCGCCTGGTCATACTAGACACACAGTCAATCCACCAAATCTCCACAGAGAACTCGCTGCTGTCGGCGTCTCGACAACCGCACTTGCCCTGGTAGCAGTAGTCTTGCAGCTCTTCACGAGAGCGCATGTTACCAAGATGGGAATCCACCTCAATGACTGTAAGTCGTTTGGATAGCGTACAGAACGTGAGAGAGTTGTCGTCGCTAATTCAACATGTGTAGATGTGATAGTATTTGCAATGATGTGCAGCCTTGCGCTGCTCGGATGCAATTTTCCACGTGTGTTCCACATCATTCAATTTATCTTGTAAAGCTGAACGATGTCTAGATATGAAGTCCGGCTTGGGCTACCATATGTGGGAAGTCAAGACAGAAGACTATGAACTTCCCTTTCAGAAAGTAGGTATAGCACTACAAGATCATCACTGCACGACTAATGAGACGCGCAGTGGACGCTAGTTGGTACTATCCTGTATGCCACCAGCCTTGCCTTCTCAAAGCTCTCCATCCTACTTTTTTACCTACGTTTATCACCACAGAAAGAGTTCCGCACGTTGGTTCATATTCTCATCGCCTGTGTAATAGTGTACGCAACACTTTACGACCTCGTGAGCACCTTCGGCTGCAGACCGATAGCCGCAACATGGGATCTCACACGTTTGCCCGGGGCTGTGTGTATGAATCAGCTGACAAAGTACATGGCGCTCTCAGTACTGAACATCGTCATCGATGTGATTACCTTGGTACTTCCGATACCCGTTGTCGCAAGACTACAGATGTCGCGGAGACGGAAGATCACTGTTTGCGGCATATTCGCGACCGGAGGATTGTAAGTCATCAAGATTGTCATCGGAAAAATCTGCTGACTATTTGCACAAGCGTATGCCTCGTGGCCATTCGTCGAACAACGCTCTTGAAGCCGCTCATGATCTCACCCGATTATACATGGGATGCTGTTGAGCAATCCCAATGGTGTTTTGCTGAAGTAAATGCCGGAATCGTCTGCGCATGCGCACCCGCCCTCAATCCGTTTTTCGTGCGCTACGTTCCAGGCCTTCTGAGTTCCCATTTCGGTAATAGTAAAAGAGATCGTGATGGATTCAAGAGCGATAAACAAACGCTACCAGCATCAAACGATCGAAAGCAGGCCAACGAAGCATATGGACTTCAATTGCAGGACGACGTATCTGAGAAGACAGCAACAACGAAGCATAGTGAAGTTGGTGACGAGTCGACACTTTGGCAGAATCCTGCGAACAAGGGCACTGAGAAGGAGTTGATTACTACCTATTTTGTTAAACATGCCTGTTGATAGAGTAGTAGCTATGAGGACCTAAAGTCTAGTATGCCAGAAGACAATATTCATAGTTGCGTCTTCTCATCTAGTCTCTCTTGTAGTAGCATAGTGCATCGAGTTTGAGATCGTGTACTCATTGGTCCGTTCGACTATGCCGATGAAAACTTCCGAAGCCGTCGTTTTATGCGTCATTGTGGCGTGGTCATCGACCATTGACCATAGCTCAAGCTCCGCGCCGCAACGGGAACTTCGATTCTCGAGTATTGTCAATTTTTCTACAGACATAGTGCTACCTGAAGTGATGTACTTTGCTCTTATGGAAGTTTCTTTGCTGTGTGATGTTGTGGTGTACCTAGGTACTCAAGAGCAAGCAACAAGTACGAGCCACAGGAGTATACGTGTTGTAGGTAATATCCGCAGCTTTGGGTACGCTAATGCATAGACATCACACCTTTCTACTGCCGTGCCGCATGCTTCGGCTTCGTGTCGATATACTCCTTGCAGCCGACTGGGGTCGTGGTCCTATCGTCCATTGTATCATGCACCCCTTCATCGTCTATGGTGAACCCCGCTTCGCTGGATTGACACTATAGGCTTCAAGGTAAATTGAGAGTGAGAGGAAAACATGCTCTAAGACAGGTATGATAGGTGTTCCAGGGAACCGGCAGGCAACTTTATGATGTCCTCGGCGTGGTATAATACGCGTAAGAGCGCGGCCAGTTCTGTGGTTCTAAGCCCGAACCGAGAAAGCGATGTATTCCCATTGACGGCCACCCAGTCGTCTGCGTGTTCTGATTCTGGTCGTGAAGAGGCAGACAGCCTGCGGGATATAGATCTTCAGAGCTTCGGTGAGTAAGAAAGGCTGTTGGGTATGTCTGGTTTTGAGGAGCCTTTCTAGGAGGGCGTGCGAGTTCTCATCGTCGGAAGCGCTGGTAGCAGCACAAACGTACCTACGGCAAAGCTTGTCGGCTTGCATTTCCCTCGACTCACCCAGGATTAGGCATTGTTCATAGACGTGCAGACGTACAAGATTCGCTGTAGCAACAATACGAGCATCTGAGCCTAGAGCAAGAACTGGACATACAGAACCACAAGATGTTGATTTCCCTTGCTGTGTTGGCAGCTAGATACAAGCTTGTGACGCGTCCTCAAGTGACATCACCTTTTTCAAGACGTGTTTTGCGCTAAGCTTCGAATAGTCAAGCGGCTGCGCCATAATCTGGATCTCACTAAAAACGCTCCCGCCATCTCAGTATTACATGTGCCGAATTTCGCAAGACCCTGGCAAATATGACAGATTCGGAAGAGGTGCTGGATCTCTATGATATCGCTGTCTTGCTAAACTACGAGCGTATCACTACAGAGCCTCGGTTTCGACACACTAGATTGAGAGAAGTCGCCTTTCCCGGTATGCTGCAAAACAGAAAGGAAAGTTGATCTCTAACTGACCAACATGCACAGATACCGAACCACGGACAGTCGCGCTCAATAATTTGGTGACTCAAGGCTGGAACAAGAATGCGTGTACCTGGATCATACTAGATCAACAGCAAGCGAGTACCCCAAATGCTCCAGATCTTCCCACCGATTTCCTGCTTCAGGACCAAATCGAGGACAGCACACTCTCGAACGAGCAACTGGAGACTTTGTTTTACCAAGCGCGCAATCACGATGGCTGTTACCAGGCCATCAGTCTTCTCCAAATATTTTTCGCCCTCTTTCATGACAAGACGAAATTGAGGGTGCGACATTTTCCTTATGGTAAGGGGCCAGGCTCATCTTACATGACGACCATTAGTAGGCGCGTTGTTGTTGGAGAAACTTTCCGCAACCCAAAGCTTACGACCGCTATCTACGTACTCCCAGAAGGTACAATGTACACTAGTGGTCACGAGTCAGAACTGAAGCATGCGGTCGTAGGATTTTCCCCGCACGACAGCGAAACCGTTCAGTCGTTTCTCGACCTTTCTTCCATGCAATTTGGCGATGTAGGTCGTGGTCCTGGACCAAAAGGAAAGCAATTATTTGCTCTGGATACCCCCGAAGAGTTTGCGGTGCGTTTCAGTAAACTAGCAAAGGGTGCGAATTCCAGTAAGAGCCAACGCACTTTGGCGATTAGTGGTACACCTGTAGATGACTGGCTCGAACAAGTGGCATTGAGGACGAAGGAGAGGTGGGACAAACGTGCCAAGGAGAAGTGGTGCGGTCATTGCGGAGCTCCATGCGCAAAGTCCAAGTGTGCTGGATGTGGTAATGCGTACTACTGCGGAAAAGAACACCAGAAGATGGCTTGGGGCTTCCACAAGGGTTATTGTTCAAAATCATGATGGATTTGTAACAACGCATACTCAACAGCACGCTTGAATGTCTTATGCGGCTCTATCATCGAAGAATACATCTTCGTTGATGTAAACATCCTGTTGCAACGTCGGTCTTGACTCCTTTTGAATTGAACAACAAGGGGTATAATTCATATAGACTGGAACGTAATCGCACTTGATATGCACATTAATCTGTCACCCATCATGCGGCACTTGGTATGGTACTGGTCAAGAGGGGATAGAGGCATCAACAACCACGAAGACCAGCACCACATTACTCACGATCCACAACCGCATCCTCGTTCTTACGTCCTCCCAGCCGGTAGCTCATTAACGTTCACCGGAACTGCCGGCGACATGGAAGGCGTGTATTGTGGCACAGGGCTCACTGGTCCACTGTTGTCCGCATAATATGGATTTGCCTGTACCGGGTTCGTCACAGCGGGTGTTTTCTCTGGCATCGCATAGCTACCCTGCTGCGCAGCATACGCAGACTGAGCGTTGGAATCATAGAACTGCGGCGCCTGTTGCGCGTTGGGATCATAATGACCGTAGTGCGGTTGTTGTTGAGGAGGTGGGGAAGGCATCTGTTGGACCTGTTGCTGAGGGATGGGCTTCTGCTCATGGTAGTACTGAACGCCTGCTGGTGGTGCCTGGGGTGCGGTAGGTGGCTGTGGCACGTTGTTATTAGTAGTGGTGTTGTTCTGCTGCTTCCGCTTGCGACGAAGTAAGAAGAAGACACCTAGAACGATGGCGGCTAGAAGAGCGACGCCACCGACTACTCCACCAGCGATGGCACCGACTGGGGTTGATTTCTTTGATTCTTTAACTTCTGCCGAGGGTGGCAGAGCGGCTGGTATGTCTGAGGACCCTGGAGTATCGGAACCGGACACTGGCGTGAAGGATGAGAACAGTGGGGTGTTCGAAGCTGAGCCCGTATTGGGGGAGGTCGAAGAGTCTTTGAAATGCACCATCAGCATACGCGTTGTTGGAAGCGGGGTAAAGAGCGCATACCATCATCAGGTGTAACCATCAAGATCAGTCCACCGGTCTCCGTCTTGGCATCACACCAGTAGTTGGTCAGTGGTGCAGGGTCATTGATATCTGTTGCCTATTTGCAAGTTTCCGAAGTCAGTATATGTCTCACATTGAGTTCGTGGGGGAACCAATATCTTACCAGTTCCCAGTAGCTACATGTACTGCTTGCGCCTCCACTGTGATGGTACGTCAATCATCGGTATAGAGGAGTTGAAGGTGTAGCATCGTACCAGAAAATACTCGTGGTAGGAAACACTGCATAATCATTTTCGCAAGAAAAGAACTCGCAGAGTGACTCTGGGGCGCAGATCTTGTACAGACTACCTGATGTTGCAATGACATGACCCTCATTGTTCGCTGTGATGGTTTCATCTGAACAGTCTTAGTATTCACAAAGGCCCAATTTGGGTGACTCTTCTTACACAGTGTAGTACTGCCATACATGCCCGTGGATATATAACCAATGGTAGTGATGTCCCTGACGGCAAGCGGAGCAGCTGTAGCAGCAGGCGCAGGCGTGACAGCAGGTGTCGGCGCCCGTATCATAGCGGCGTCCACATACTTCAAAGACAAGAGGATGGCGAGCAACGGACTAAGGTTGGTATATGCCATGACGCCCAAGATTCAAAGATTTGCAATGTTGAGAATGAGGATAGCCCCATTGCGAAAGAGCAGACTTTCTAAGCTAAGTACCCATGTTGGGTTGCGAGCAATGCGAAAGACGATGTGCCGTAAGGCGTGCAGTGACCCGCTGGGGCTTGCATGTCGCGGTTGTGATACGAGAAAAGGGTATTGGCGGGCTGATCAGCTGAGGCTTGTGTAAATTGAGGCTCAGTGGAAGAGTGCAAACGAAGTCGCTTCAAGAAGCGACTAGATCGTCAGCATAGCTAGATATGACAAAGTTTGTTTCCTGTCATTGTTCCCAGTCTCTCAGTACTGAAAGCCCAGAAGTTCCTCATCTACACATACCATTCATGTGAACGCTAGATGTATTAGTGACCGCTGCAGGGACAACGGGTGTACAACGAACATGGGGTAGCGAGGCGGGTCGTTGTTTCTTCCTCAGCTCGCTTGTGCAGCCTTTTGATAGGTCACGACATAAGCCACGCAGAGCCAATACAGCCGTGCGCTTCCCCATCTAGGTGACCACCAGGCACGTCGGATGTTTCGGTCGCGAGATAGCCTCACCGGTAAGGCGTGTGTTGGCGGCGCGGCAGATTCGCATGTAGATCTCTACCAAGGGTTTTGACATGCCGAGGGTAGAACACAAAGACGAGGCACTAAAAGTTGGTAAGACTGGTAAGAGTTCCTGGTGTTTAACCCGACAGTTTTACAATATGACTTGTCCCGCGATTGTAACGTCAAAAACCTGTCTGTTGTGGTTGCGATTCGCAAGGCTGAGCTGTATACACCACTTCGAGGACAAGTGCTAGGGTCGGTCCGAAGGTCCTACAATTTAACTGCATTCAGCATGTGGCCACCAAACTTTTCATGAGTCAGTGCCTTGGCAAGCAGGTTTCTAGTCAAAGTCCTCAGTGTGTTGTTCAAGGATGAGCGGGGACGGAGGAAGAGCATCTTGCACGTGGGCTTGGAGCCTTCATTACGCTGTCGTTATCTTTTCAGACCGGCCTATCTCTTCTCGACGCCGGGACATCTAATGTCCATGACCGTCGTCACCACCTCCGCCTTGCTCCTCAGGATCCAGCTTGATCAGGGTATCGATACGCATGATGGCGACACACGCCTCCACTGCCGACTTCAACTGCTTGACCTTGCTCATACTGGGTTCCAGCACACCGGCTTTTAGGCAATCGTGTACCTTACCATTCATCAGGTCCAGACCGTAGTTCTTGTAGTTCTTAGACTTGGCTAGCTGCTTTGCGTCTTGCGACGAAGGATCTGAAGGGTTCACTGTTCGCTGTGAAAGAGCGTGCCGTGATCGGAGGTTAGCGACAAGCTCAGTAGCATCCTTGGCGGCATTGATAGCGAGTGTCTTGGGGATGGCAAGGAGAGACTGGGCAAAGGCAGCTATCGCTAGCTGTTCCCGAGAGCCCTGAACCAATTGTTAGTGATACCATGAGACATGTAGGGATTGAAATGGCTTACCACTGACGTTGCCCACTCCTCCAGGTAGATGTGCAACGCAGTCTCAACAGCACCTCCACCAGGGACAATACGTCCACTTTCCAGGGTTCGCTTTACTGCTGATAATGAGTCGTGTACTGATCGCTCCATCTCGTCCAAGGCGTAGTCGTTGGCACCTCTCAGGATGATGGATGCAGAAGAGAAGGCCTTGGTGCCCTTGACCAGAATGCACTCATCGTCGGAGATGCGCTCTTGAGAGACCTCCTCAGCATGACCAAGATTTGCCGCTTCGAACTTCTCGTCACCGTTCAGATCGGAAAGCGTGCTGACTAGCGTCGCTCCGGTGGCCTTTGCTATCCTTCGTAGGTCCTCCTTCTTGCACCTTCGCACAGCCATGGCACCCTTCTCGACGAAGTGCTTCAAGCAAAGGTCGTCGATACCCTTTGTGGTCATGATGACGTTGGCGCCGGCCTTCAGAATCATCTCAATGCGCTCAGTGACAATGCCAGCCTCGCGCTCTCGGATCTTCTCCAACTGCTCTGGGTCGTCGATGGTGATGTGAACACCCAGCTTCATTCGCTCCTTCTGCAGGTTGATGTCCAAACAAGCAATCTTGGCGTCGGTGATGCGTGTCTTCATGGCTTGCGAGGCGACTGTGCAGTTGAGGGCGTAGCCCTTAACGAGTACCGACTGCGTGGCGCTCTGACCGTGTGCCTTGAGAATGTTGACAGCCTTTACAGGGTATTTGACCTCGGCCTTGTTGTTTGTCATCTTGACGGCCGTCATGGCGTCTACGACCATGTTGGCGAAGAAGTCGGAGTCGGAACCGATGATCTTGCTGGACATGGACGTCTTTGCGATGTTGACGAGCGAGTCGCGGCCGAGCGCATCGACCTTGGTGCTGATGTTCTCGTTCATGTACTTGACCGCCTCCCTCAAGGCCAGCCTGTAGCCTGTGATGATGGTGGTGGGGTGGATCTTGTTCTTCATGAGCTCGTTTGCTCTCCGCAACAGCTCGGCGGCTATTATGACGACCGAGGTTGTGCCATCTCCGACTTCCTTGTCCTGTTGTTGTGCGAGGTCGACGAGGATTTTGCCTGCGGGGTGCTCGATGTCAAGCAGACTGAGGATGGTGGCGCCGTCGTTGGTCACGGTCACGTCGCCGATGTCGTCGACCATCATCTTGTCGAGGCCCGAGGGCCCAAAGGACGACTTGACGACATTCGAGATTGCCTGCGTCGCAAGCACGTTCTGGTCGCGAATGTCCTGTCCGCTGATTTTCTGGCCGCCGAGGACTGCACGGGTTAGCTTTCTGCGGCCCTGGTTTTGGCGGTTCCAGCTTACACAGGGTTCCTCCGCTGCGGGACTGCTCGAAGATGCCTGCCATTGTGTTGGGTTCTAGCTGTTCTGCTCGGTTGTTGCTGCCTCTACGCGGTCCAGAAAATCTCCAGCAATGCCCGCCCGCGCGGCGAATCGTAGCTCCGTCGGTCAGTCGCGCTAGCTTGGACCCCTGCGCCGATGACTCGGCCCCCTCCACCACTTTTGGCCGTCGACTCACACGAGCCTGCAACAAGCCGACTCTGTCTTAGCTCTGAGTGAGTCCGCTGGATTTGCATCCTCTACATCTCTAGTCGCATACTTCCCCCTCAGCTTTCCCCGACTCAATTGCGCGTAAGTAACTCCAAGTCGCGTGTTGATACCCCGCCTGCCCCGCCAACTTGCCCTATACACAAAGCCACCCAGCACAATATCAACACCTGTTGCCGTCCCCATATCGTTTCCACATTGGCTGCCAGCACGACTGTACCTCCAACCGCGTTGACCTTGCTTTCCTAGAATAATTCAACATGGCCGAAGCCACTGCTGCCGACGGGCAGATGAAAGATCTTTCCATCTCCGAGACCAAGAAGAGCAAGAAGGACGGCAACCCCCAGAAAGCTGCCAAGAAGCCCCAGCAACAGAAGAAGAAGGTCGGTCAGGACTGCAAAACGTCTTCTTCGGACCCGAGGCGATGCTGACTATGCGACAGATTGAGGGCTCAGCACTCATTGGTATCGATGTTGCCAAGGAGACTGACCTGGGAGACTGGTACCAGCAGGTCATTACCAAGGGCCAGATGATCTCATACTACGACGTCGCCGGATGCTACATCCTCGAGCCCTCCTCGTACGCCATCTGGGAGAACATCAAATCCTGGTTCGACGGCCAGATCAAGACTCTCAAAGTCCGAAACGCCTACTTCCCCATCTTCATCAGCGCCGACAACTTGGAGCGAGAGAAGGAGCACGTTGAAGGGTTTGCCGCCGAGGTTGCGTGGGTGACCAAGGGTGGAAAGTCTGACCTGGAGAAGCCCGTCGCTGTGCGCCCTACCTCAGAGACTGCCATGTACCCATACTTCGCACGCAAGATCCAGTCGCATCGCGATCTGCCCCTGAAGCTGAACCAGTGGAACAACGTTGTTCGATGGGAGTTTAAGCGTGAGTATCCAACCGACCTTTGCCTCGACTGCATCTAACCCGTCTTCAGACCCCATGCCCTTCATCCGATCGCGCGAGTTCCTATGGCAAGAAGGCCACACCGCACATCTTACCCAGAAGGAGGCGAGCGATGAGGTACTACAGATTCTGGACTGGTACTCTGATGTTTACCAGGACCTGCTGGCCGTTCCCGTCGTGAAGGGAACCAAGACAGTAAACGAGAAGTTCCCTGGAGCCGACTACACCACAACCATTGAGGGTTTCATTCCCGCTACTGGACGTGGTATTCAAGCCGCAACATCACACGCCCTCGGCCAGCATTTCTCAAAGATGTTCAACATTACAGTCGAGGACCCCACTGCCAAGGAAGCCGGCAAGTCGGAACACGTCCATGTGTGGCAGAACTCATGGGGTCTGACTACTCGCTCGATCGGTGTCATGATTCTGACTCACGGAGACAACCGTGGTCTAGTCATTCCTCCTAGGGTGGCTGAGATCCAAGTTGTTGTCATCCCCGTAGGAGTCACCGCCAAGTACGTTTGTCGTGGATTACTCATGAATGCCATTATGCTAACCAAGTCAGGATGTCTGCGGAGGCTAAGGAAGATCTCTACAGCAAGGTCAAGAAGATATCTGACGACCTTACTGAGGCTGGTGTTCGCGTCGAGACCGACTACCGCGAGGGCTACTCTCCTGGCTGGAAGTTCAACGACTGGGAGTTGAAGGGTATTCCTCTACGTATCGAGTTCGGTCCCAAGGATGCCGAGAAGGGTGTTGTTACCACATCTCGCCGTGACATTGATGACAAGGACGCTGCACGTGGCACCATCGACGTCGGCAGCCTTGCGCAAGAGGTTCCCAAGCTACTCGAGCAGATCCAAAAAGACATGTTCGAAAAGGCTGACAAGGCTTACCGGGACCACCGTATTCAACTTACCAACTGGGATGACTTCGTCCCCACCCTGAACGGCAAGAACGTCGTTCTTGTTCCCCACTGCGAGGGCGACAAGTGTGAAGACGAGGTCAAGGCGAAGAGTGCGCGTACAGCACTTGGAGATGGCGTTGCCGAAGACAAGCAGGCTCCTGCCATGGGTGCAAAGAGTTTGTGCATTCCCTTCGACCAGCCCGAGGGTATTGAGCCCGGCAAGACCAAGTGCATCAACCCTGATTGCCAGACTCCTGCCAAGCAATGGATCTTGTTCGGGCGAAGCTACTAGTGCTTCAACATTTCACCAGGTTTGCGTTTTTGTTTGAGCATTTGGTGGCATGGAGTTTGATGGCGCGGTGTTCACGGCATGGGGAAGGGGTCGTCGTTACACTGGCCATTCACGATTTTGCAATGTTGATACAACCTTTAGCATAGAACTAAAAGTTCTGATCTGCCGAGCCAATGTTTTCTTCCTGCGCGTGCTATATGGGCGTTTGATAGGCAGACATGTTGGTTGGCAAACGGGTAAAGGTAAAGTGAATCAGCCAAGCCAGCGCTCCTACGCCGCTTGTGAATGACAGAGTCACTTGCTCGTTCTTGGAAATATTATGTTGCGTCACTTTCATTTATTCTACTACAACTGACCTCTGTACTGCTACTTTTGCACTCACTTACTACCAGAATCCAACTGTCAATCACAGGTCCTAAGCCTCCTTACAGGAACGCGTCCTTTACCCAAAATGTGTCACAAACTTCTCCAAGCCTATGCTTGTGACCACAAGAGGATCGTGTGCACCACGCCGTGTCCTCATGCCATCGCTACAGGACGTCAAATTTCCAACGACCTCTGTAAAACCGTACCCGAGTTGTCACGCTCGAGCTCCGCTGTATCGTCCATGACACCCTCAGCGAATGGTCCCCCGCTGAGAGCTACAGTGTTGAGCAGCCAAGTACAAGGACTGCAACAGAGTGGTCACACGCCAGCATTCCGTTTCATCGCGCCCACTACGGGGCAAGAAGCCACCAGTGTAGGTCTTCCGGTGTCCACATCTCCAATATCTCCATTTTCCAATCAACCATCGCCTGCTTTTTCCAATGCCAATTCTCTCATTGAGCCCGTCTCCTCCTCACCTTCGACCTCCCTCACTCCCGCGGACCCAGAGCCTGATACTGGGTGAGTACAATTCCATCCCACTTACCACTTCTCCATTTTCCTAGCCTTAGTTGCTAACATTGGCATAGCACAGTAGAGCCAAACCTTTGCGCAGACCACTTCCTCCGGCCTGTCTTTCACTCGCGAGTACCTTGTGTACGATGCTACTCACAACCACGGTGGCAGAAACAACGGGATTATTGGATGAATGCATATAGGGAACAGCATCCAGGAGTCACACAGGATGTTGAGAACCTGAGCGGAATTACTGCAGTGAGAGAACGATATGGTGCATGATTGGCCTCCTCATCAGACACAAGAAGAATGAAAACACAAGACAGGGAGACGAGATTCTCGTAAACTCCTAGTAGCGATTTGCTAGACGGCAGACCCTGATATAGATTCCCACAAAAAGATAGGAAGCAATCCTCTAGAGAAGAGTAAAACAATCCTTATAGCCGGCAGAAATGAATGGATTACCCCACCTCTGCCATGCATAACTCGTATTTTGATCGTCATCTATGTATGCTTAGATTGTGTGTCGGTCGTCATTCAATGCCGAAGTGTATCCAAGCATCGATAGTCACCGGGTCATCTAGCTCGTGTCCATTTCATCGTCGCCCTTCTTCTCTTTCTCCACTGTCTTCTTGACACCTTCCAAGAATGCCTTGACCGCATCTGGACCACCGAGTGGCATTCCACCACCTCTCATGTAGCCTCCGTTCTCAACGTCGATCTTCAGTGCCTGGCTCACAGTTGGCAGAGCACCAGTCTTTAGTGCCTCTGTCAAACTACCCAAAGCCGCCCTCAACTGCGGTGCCCGTAGAACCCTTTGCAGGACCTCAATCTTCTCATCTCGACTCAGTGTCTGGATAGCCATTTGTGCGGTCTCGGAGTTTGGGTCGATCTCGTCGATATCTTCGACTTCGGCTTCTAGGAGAAAAGGAGTGGTCGGTAGCTGTGCACACAGGGCATCGATGAGCTCGTCAGACGCATTTTGAACGGTCGGGAGGGTGTGTGAAGGCCAGAGAAGGTCGAGGAGTGTAGTGAAAGGTTCTGATCCTCGTTGTTGTTGGGTGCTGCTGCCTGCGTTGCCGCCCTTGAGCGAGTTCATGAAGTCTTGGACAATGGCGGAGACATCACCCGAGCCGGCTCTGTCGACGCGTTAGCGCTGTGTTCTAGAAGCAAAAACAAAGTATAGACGCGAAACGAGCGCCGCGGCGTGGCCAGTGGAAGACGGAGCATGATGCTTATTTTCTATTGTTGTACATGAGCAGCCAGTGCCAATCGCCATATGCTTGGATGGTCTTAAGCTTCTCCCAAAACGCCGTATCGTAACAGGATATCTTTAGAGCTTTGTATAGAGCAGTTGAAGTCTTGCACAGCAGCTCGATTCTTTCCGGAAAGGTAGACCGCGCCACGACGCCGAATGCGATACAAATAGACGGAACCTACGCTCGACCACCATCGGCACCTCCTTCTCGGGACTCTTCGCCTTCATCTCGGATATCACCTCCCGTAGCGCCAGCTCCTGCGCCTCCGGTACTACCGTGGCGGTTTCGGCTAGACGGCTCTACATCTTCCATTGTCTCGTCCTCGTCGTTGCCAGATGAGTTTGAGATGCCTGCGAGTTCAGCGTGCACATCAATCTCCTCGCCTGTCAGCAGAAGGTCAATCACTTGTCCGATCTTGAGATCACGCTCGCTGAACCAGCTCGCGCCCCGCGGGTGCTGTGATTTTGATTGTAACCAGAAGAGATAGCGCTGTGAGCTCGAGCTAAACTTGAGGACGAAGATGCGGCCGTCGGTGGGTGACTTGATGTTCTCCGAGTCATCGACGGCGTCTTTGCCGGTGTAGGGTTGGAAGGAGCCGTCACCAGGAATCATGATGAGGTCGAGCTCGGACTGATCGAGTGAGCGGTCGCGTGGCCGCCAGCAGAAGTGCACAAATTCTGGACATGTGAGCTGATGAACATGGTGTCGTGGTTGCGTACAAACCATCTTCGCCTTGGTACAGATAGACATAGCCAGGTGTCTGGACTGGCTTGACTGTCTGTGAGTTGCCTTCGCCGCGCTGCACGTATTGTTAGTGTACGCTCCAGTACTGGAGAAGCGGTGTCGCTCACCGTCAGCTCGCACTGGCCGGCCTTGAAGGTGATGAGCGGTTGAACAGACATGTTTGCAGCGTGTGTTTGGGGTTGGGGCAATGATGTTCAGCCGCCGTCCCGCAAGCATGACCCCAAGCTGCAAGCTCCATGCGGGTTACGTAACCGACGGAACAACTGGCGGCCCGGTCGCGCGTATCGATTGGACAGCTTGGCACACATTCGAATTCACGAAAATACGATCCCATCGCCAACACCACCGACCAGCACTAACGACCACAGCGAAACGAAATGGCGGCCAAACAAGAGGACACGAAGCCCACCACCCAGAAGTTCTCCAAGGGGGAGAGGTCGATACCGCACCACTCGCAGAAGGCCAGCAAGTACTACCCTGCTGAGGACGTTGCTGTCCCCAAGAAGGTACGTTCGCGATAGAAGACGGTTTGCATGCAAGAGAAGGACTGCAGGGGTATTGGGTGCATTTACTGCGACAGCATGCCGCGGGTGTGCCTGGGTGTGCCTGGGTGTGCAAGGATGAGAATCAGGACGTCAATTGGGAGCTCCGCTAACTGCGACTCAAGGCCCGCAAGTCTGTCCGCCCTGCGAAGGTTCGCGAGTCCCTCCAGCCCGGTACCGTCGTCATCCTCCTTGCTGGTCGCTTCCGCGGCAAGCGCGTCGTTGTCCTCAAGCACCTCTCCCAGGGTGTCCTCCTTGTTACCGGTCCCTTCAAAGTCAACGGTGTTCCCCTTCGACGAGTAAACGCCCGATATGTCATTGCCACCTCCACCAAGGTCGACCTGAAGGGCGTAGACGAGAAGGTTATCGAGAAGGCTAGCCAGGACGGTTACTTCACCAAGGACAAGGCCGCCCACAAGCCTGGTGAGGATGCGTTCTTCAAGCAGGGCGAGAAGCCCGAGGTACGTTTTCACGATCAAGGAGGAACGCGACAGTACTGACACATGTGACAGAAGAAGGAGACCTCCAAGGACCGCGTCGAGGACCAGAAGGCCGTCGACAAGGCCCTTCTGGCCACCATCAAGAAGGAGGCTCACCTCGCCGACTACCTCGGTGCCAGCTTCAGCCTCCGTAGCTCAGACAGGCCTCACCAGATGGTCTTCTAAGCGACGGATAACGATCGGGCATTCGGCGTTCAGTGCATGGGATGAAAGATGACTTCGGCATACTGCAGCCGTACTAGCGAGGAACAAGAACCGCAGCGGCACGGCAGCCAATTTTTTTTCATGGAGGATACCGACAAGGCATTTACCATAAGACTTTATAACAAGCAAGCGAATCCGAGACGGTCCAAAAGTGAACATTTGGTCTCCGCTTGCGTGATGTCATAGTTGGGCGTTCAATTGGCGCGGTATATACTGGGCGGTAATCGAGAGTACTGATGCATGAAATAGAGATACAGACGTTACATTGTTCGACCGATACTGCGCCGATTGCCACGCAAACTCCAAGCGACATGACGTGAGGGCATCCAAGCGACAGCTGACCAAAGGTGTTCCTCACCACCAGACCAGTTGCGCCAACGCGATTCGAAAACTTGCCTCGTTACACAACTTATTGCCCACCGATTGACCTACTTACTTCTTTCCTCTCCCTTTTCTAGCTCTGCCAAACTTGCCCGCTAGCCCGTTCGCCGCGTCCCCTGCGCCGTCTATAGCCTTCCCCGCCTTGCCCTCCACGTTATGCTTCTCCATCTCTGCCTTGAGGTCCTCAACAACATCCTTGCCCAGTGTCGTGCCGTGGCACCAGTCCAAGACACCCAGACATCCGTAATTACCCTCTCCCTCACTCATCATGTGCGCATCGGCACGTCGCGCCATACCTCGCAACATGATGGTCGAAGGTAGAACATTATATCCCGAGTACACAAATGTCTCCTCTAAGCTGAAAACAGCGACCAGAATCAAATAGGTGAGGATATGCATGCGTAAAGCAATTGCCGGAAGGTAAAGGGGTAGGAAGCGGTGCAAGAGGTGGCAGATGGGGTGGTCGTAGTTTGCAGCAAAGGAGTATGGAATCTTGATGCTATGGTGCCAGCTTTGATGCAAGTTCGAAAGTGCACCGCCAGTCGGTGAGTGAAGCACGTGTGTGTGGACATAGTATTGCAGGATCTAGGTCGTGTTTGTCAGCACAGTGTACTTGGTGAACGCGATCATGGTATCTCACGTTGCGTGATAGAAGCCCGATAATGCCATGCTTGACCATCGTCCACGGGTTGGGCAGGTGATTCAATCCCCACTTGCTGCCTTTGATAAGTAAAAGACTCCTCATTCGTAGTACATCGGTAATCAAGAACTCCATGGCCGCCTGTAGTGCAACAGCAAGCAGCACATTCGCACAGCTCCATGCTATAACCCTCCTCATCGCTCTTGCGCCTCCCTTCTGGTTGCTTGGAATGCCCCATTGTCCTTGCGACTTGAACTCAACTGCTAGACTGGGCACTCCGATATCGAATAGCAAGAAGATCAGGCTAGGGATGATGTAGAGAGATAGCCGTAGAACTAGTGGTGCAACCAGCTCAAGTTGAAGAGGAGAATATGACGCCGCGATTGTCGTCCATGCGACTGAAAGGAAGATGAGGTTCAGGCCTGTCGACCACGAAGACAGCATAGGAATGGCTAAAAATGAGCCCAGCGGCAGAGCGATAGGCGCAAGAATGGAGGAGAACAGTGCGCCCATGCTGAAGGCGTTCCCTAAGTGGAGATAATTGATGCTCTTAGGTCTTGGAAGTAGTAAAGTATGTCTATGTGCGTCATGTGAGTAGAAGTAGACATTCTGTCTACATGTTTGTGGGTTGCAATTGCGATGTGAGCGATGACGTAGGGGCAGCGACGAACTTGGTTCATGCCGCTGGCCGCGTGGGAACGCGTGCGCGACCGTTTGGGCGAGATAAGCGAGGGCGCCCTTTGTCTCTCAGGACTCCAGATCACTGAACATTTCGCATGCACCGTTCATTCCTCGTCGGAGAACACTCGTACTACCTTGCACGTAGAGGTGATGTATTCTCAAGGCAAAGTTGATCGGCACATTCTACGTCCTTAGGTCCCATTCAGGTTACTGGTGCCGCGCAGTTTCCCAAGCATGTTGCGACTCCATCCGCTCAGACGCTGCTAGGTTTGCTAAGGTCGCCTGGCCTGCAGTGTGTTCCTAAAGGTTTGAACTCCCGCCTTCAACTTGCTGTTATGAGTCTGTGCCCATTCATCTTTGAGTCTAACTCGCACATCTAACTTTGTAAAGCCCGTATCAGATATTTTTGCGAATTTGCGCATAGTAGTTAAGTTACGCCTTAGGCTCTTGTTCTCTCTTTTGTTGACTGCACATGAGGCCTCAGAAGCAATATGCATAGTTTGCAATATTTCTGATTTTTCTTTGAGGAAAGCATACTTGCTTCGTGGAGTCTCTAGAGCTTCTAGCTGAACTCTCTGCTTGTTGAGGAGAGCTACCAGGTCTGCTCTAAACGATAGCAACCCGCTCCGAAGAATCTGCGGATCTTTCATGCCAAACTGCTTCTGGTGGTACCTGTATGGCCAGTCTTCTTCCCATTTCTTGTACTTGTCCTCCTATATCCTACGCGGAGACGGTGGTGAGAATCAGAAGTGAAAGGGCGGGCTTCTCGAGAACCCTGCGGACGATCAATGTGGAAAACGACTCGACATACGGAAAGAAAATATAGATCTCGAAGCCAATATAATGGTACGGTGACCATGGTCTAAGGGCAGGGAGCAATTTATGACTGTAGAATCGTGATAACGAACGCCGACTATGTTAGTGATCAATAGAGCTATACAAGAAGAGAGGCCAAAGACGTGCGCCTTACATCCTTGCAAGCTTGATGTTAAGTTGATCAAAAAGGCTTCCAGAACCGTCTACAAAGCCTCCTATCGGGTTCGTATCTGCCGCTTACCATTCATTCCGATAAACGGCGGGCGATACCCATATGCTTTACCTGCAGCGCTCGGGTAACAACGCCCTACCAACACAGCATAATGATGGCGCGCCCTACAAAGTACATCTTGGCGACGGTCAGTGCAGCAACAACCAAAATCATGCCATGGGAGAGTAATTGTGACTGCCGCATCTGATAGAAAGAAGTCGCGAATGGAGACGATAATGACGTGTGCGGGGAGCGGGGCGGTCATTCGCTGATCACTCGGAAATAATGCCGTGCCCGCGGGTATTTATCATCAACGAGCATGCCCTCTCCAGATAGCCTACTCGAATTGAGCAGACTCTTTGTTTGTCTCTCGTAATCCATGACTTTGGCTTTTCGTTCCGCGCAACTTCTTTCAAGATCGACACCTGCAGCAACACGACTCTCAACAATCAATTCGCATATCGCTCCAAGAGCACACAACATCAGAGCCATGTCATCTCTCCCAAAGACTATGAAAGCCGTCCTCATCGAGAAGACTGGGGGCACGGAAGTTCTACAGTACAAAACTGACGTACCGGTTCCAGAGCCGAAGGAGGGCGAGGTGCTTGTGAAGAACGAGTTCATTGGCATCAACTACATCGACACGTGAGTACTACATGACCATGAATCTGATGATAGATTGCTGACGGGAATTCACAGCTACTTCCGCTCAGGCGTTTACAAGCCTCCGCAGTTCCCCTACATTCTTGGCCGAGAAGGCGCTGGAACGATTGCTTCCGTCGGACCCAATGTGCCCTCTGATCTCAAGCCTGGAGCGAAGGTAGCCTACATGGGACAACTAGCGTATGCTGAGTATACCGCTGCACCAGCGAACTACACTATACCGCTGCCTGATTCCATCTCCACAAAGACTGCTGCTGCTTCCCTTCTCCAGGCGCTAACCGCTGTAACCTTGATCCGCGACGCGTACGAAGTCAAGAAAGGCGACTGGATCCTTGTCACCGCTGCCGCTGGTGGCGTTGGCTTATGGTTGTGTCAGCTGTTGAAGGCGGTCGGCGCAAGGGTCATTGCTACGGCCAGCACAGAAGAGAAGAGAAATTTGGCCAAGCAAAATGGCGCAGAGGTGCTACTAGAATACCATGAGGAAGATCGAGACGTCTTTGTCAAGAAGGTGCTAGAAGTTACTGGAGGTGAGGGCGTGCATGCAGTCTTCGACTCCGTCGGGAAGTCCACTTTCGATAGCTCACTGGCTGTGGTGAGGAGAAAGGGTACTATGTGTTCGTTTGGAAACGCATCGGGACCAGTCGAGGGTTTTGCGCTTGCGTAAGTTCTTCCGCCACTTTTTTCATCTGGGAAACGACTTACACACCATACAGACGCTTATCGGCAAAGAATGTCAAGCTCATTCGGCCTACGTTGTTCAACTACATTGCCACTCGCGAAGAGCTTCAGGCAGCCGCAAATGAGCTGTGGAAGTTCATCGAGAAAGACGGGCTGAATGTAAAGATTCATGATGTGTACCCCTTGAGCGAGATTGTGAGAGCAACAAAGGACATCGAGGGAAGGAAGACAACTGGAAAACTGGTGTTGACACCGTAAGTAGAGAAGAGTTGTGAATGAATCTCATCAGACGTATGAAGGAAGATACTATCTCAGCGCCTACAGAGACCTAGGTCCCTCTTCTCCTTGTTTGAATCAGAAGCTAAAGTTTTCTGGTCAAACACAACTGACGCCATCGCTGTGCAATCTACTGAAACGGATGCTGAACTCTGTAAGATGCAGTCCAACAAATCCTGTCAAGTCTTTTCCGAAGATGAGAAAGCTTCAATTCATGATACGACCATCTTCTCAAGCTCTACCCGCTGTGACTGAGCCATTCCAGAGTTCCTGCTCATAAGCACGTTAGCTTTTTCCCTAGCGTAACAAGTACATTGGGCGCAATCGTTGACACAGTCCATCTTAACGGGAGTGAGGAGCTCAGACGAAGTAATCGCTGGGGTCAATGGAGTCAGCTGACTCCGCTAATGGGTTTTCAGCACGTTGGTAAAGACGCTGAGGTGCCAAGGAGTAGGGTAACTTACGTTCATGAATGGGGTAAGTATCGTGGTCGACTTCTCCAGCCTCGTCCTGAAGGGTGGAATCTTCCTGAGCGTCGGAGAAAGAGGTCACACTGGCCTTGCTTGTCTCCTCTTCCTTGATGATGCTCTTGGGCTTGGGCTTGGGCTTAGGCTTAGGCTTAGGGGTGACGATGCAGTTAGTCTTTCCGACCTTGGCGCGTTTGGGCTTGGACTCTAGGAGTTCTTCTTGGTCGTCCTCATTCTCCGGATCAGAACTAAGCTTGGCTTCGTCCTCGGCGGAGGCGACCTTCTCCTTCGGAGATGCACGCTTGCGCTTAGGAGTCGGCGTGGTCTGGGTGACATCAACATCATCGCCGGACGAAGTGGCAGTCTTGCGAGACTTCTTAACAGTAGATTTGGGAGTGTCCTTGACGGGAGATGAAGGACAAGGCGCGGTACCGTTCTCTTCAAACGCTTTCTTCATCCGGGAGTAGCGCTTTGATGCCGCTCCAGCAGTGGTGTTTGCTTTGGCAGCGATGTCGTTCCAGTTTGGTGGCTACGACATCATTAGTGAACCTGTCATTGCGAAATATCCCAAGTGAAACAAATCGGTACTTACTTGAGCGCGCGTATGATGCTTGACACAAAGCCATAGAAACTGATATGTGGTACCCCCGGGGACTTCGTTCTTCTCCATAGCCTGCTTAAGGCGCGACCATCGCTTTGTGACCGCGCCTTTCTTGAGGTTAAGCGCACTGGAGACAGCGTCCCAATCAATCTATGGTAAGTTAGTATAACCATGTGCGTGTGACGAGAATCATGACAAGAACATCTAGGCAGTGGAAACCATCTCCACAGCTCAAGCGCACTTGGAGCAGGTTTGGTAAGACTCACAGTTGGGTTGCCGTCATTGGTCAGTACCAAGTACAGGTAGTTGATGTTTTCAGCTTCAGACGGCATTTCGACTGTCGTTTGTGAATAGTTTCTGGATGCAGATGCTTTCTAACTGATGCTAGTGGCGAAAGTCAAGGTATCGTTGGCGCAGTCCCAAGCTTTGATGTTGGACGTAAGAGTGAGAGAGGTAAAAGACAAACAAGTCAGCTATACATTTGTGTTTCCTTGGTGAAGGTGGGTTTCCACAAGGCAACAACAGCAAGCACTGCATTACCGTGATAAGCACTCTTTTCCATAGGATCAACTCGATTGACAGTGAAGAGCTTGGAGGAGTCTGGATAGGAGTGAAAGACAGTTACAGATAAGGCAGAATCGGTCATATTTAGCAAGAAACCAGATCAGCTGCCAGGACGCAGGGGCCGAGTACCATATGAACGATAGACTGTGTCACAGATCAATACTTGGCATTATATATGCACGGACGTACTACTACTTGGTCCTGGACTGCACGCTGGAAGGCTTATGCAGACACTCCCAAACCTACAGGAGCAGGTGCTTCTTCATCATCTTGTCCACCGATTCCATTTCCGACCAATTCGGTGAAGTCCAATCCAACCTCTCTCAGCATTTCTGCATGTTCATGTGCTAGCCTCAAGCATTCGTTCCACACATTGCCGCCTTCATCAACACTACTGAGTTGCCTCTTCAACAATATGTTGAACTGGTCAATATGTTCTTTCGCCCATTTTACGCAAGCGGACATGAGCTGTTGTGGGAAGCATTTTTGAAACATGTCGACGGTGTTTTTGATAATGGTGAAATAGATGTATGAAGTTTGGAAGATGTAGTCGGGAAGGTTGCCTTCGAATATACATTGCCTGAAAGAGTCAATGAATGGTGAGCATAAATGACGAAGGTGAGGACATACCGCGTGCGAGTCTTGATGAGATTACCACGAGCTTCCAGATAGGCCTCGCGTGCGCGGTCTTCGAAACCTAGTTGGACAACCCAGCTGACGTGTTGCCTGACGGACGTGAACCAGTTGTTATGCTCTACCATATGCTTTACCAAAACATTCGCCAGCTTAGCAGCACGTTCGTTGACTTTGTATGTGACGATTGTCTTGGCCATCTCGTTGCTTTTGATATTCTTCGCGAGCACTTTCAGGCGATCGACTTTCAGGACTGCCTCTTGAAAGTGTTGAAGCGCAATCTCAATGTCCAAGTCGTCGAGTTGGCTTTCTACCCACCGGATGTTGCGCTGCTGACCGTCCATATCGATGAATGTACTAACTTGTTCGTTGTTGATGCCGTCAGAAAGGTTATCCAATAGCTCCGTTCTGTTCATGAAAGCAGGGTCGCGTGAAAGGAGATGGCTATAAGAGTCTTGCGTTCGATCTTTGTCTTGCACATCCGCTTCTTGGCTCTTGCGCAAGTCATCTTTGGTTTTACGAAAGGTAGCAACGAAAGCGGACTTGTCGCCGCTATCCTCTTTCTTGGTGTCGTATGTGAAGGACTCCGAGCCAGCGCGAATGATGATGCGTTCTTCAGGTGTCCTAATCACCTGAGTATCTTGCAGTGGGAAGCATCGTTGGGCCATGAATTCCATATTTGCTCTGTTGCCATCGCGTTGACCAGGGACGTCATTTCGCGCTTTCTTCTCCGTTGCGATAAGGAGATGGTCATTCAGTAGCAGGAGCCGCACTCTTCGTCTCGCCTTGAGGGTTGCAGAGTCGAGTTCAAACCATCTTGTGGACTTCCACACAATATATCGCCCAGGTATAGGCGGTAGATACTTTTGTGAACCCTCGACGTCTCTGTAGAGCTGCTGCAGCTGACCAGCGCGTAGTTGGTTGAGGTCTCCGATGGAGCTTCGGTTGGCCCTTCGGGAGCTTGCAGCGTCGTTGGCGCCTGTAGCTGAAGCCGTCTGTTCCAGTGTAGTGGTCAGGTCTGACATCAACTGACGAAGTGTTCGCATCTCGCCTTTGAGCTTCTCTGCCTCCTTACTGATCTTGATGAATTGTGTGCGGTTCTGGTATACGTTATGCTGTAGGTCGAGGGATGTACGGTGTTTCGTCTTGCGCAGTTCATCTTGGTAGCGGTTGATGTCGGCCTCTGAGGCGTCTGCAAGGATGGTAGATACATCTATGCGAGGTCAGTATTCAGGCAGCGAGGCGGCGACACGCAGTAGTCTCACATCGCTCTACTTCCAGGTTGGGGTCTCTCAACGCTCGTGGGTCAACCTGCAACACCCGTCCATTGGAGCTTCCCGGCGGCCGTCCCTCTCTCGTCTGGCTCTTCTCTCTGTACTGGGCGGGCATTGTTGGCATCTGCGGCATGGGTTCTCCATTTCCAAAGTCGCCAGGCAGCGTCGTGATCTTCTGGGAGTACCTCCTCTTGACGAGATCGGCCGTCTTGTCGGGTCGCTGCGGGCGTGACTGGGGGGCATCCTGCCTGGTCCTCGAGCGGCTGGATTCGTTCGAAGGACGTCCGGAGCTGGGGAGTGAAGCAGCAGCGACGCCGGCTGGCATGGGCGCACTAATCTGTCGCGGCGCGCTGATGGTGGGCGGCGGCGCGTTCTTCTTGCTCTTGTCCCCCCGCTTCTTGCGGAGGGAGATGCCCTTTTGCTTTTCCGACATCTTGCCTGCAAGATTGACGGGCTACAGTGGTGGAGGCGCGAGGGGCAGTGGTTGCTGATGGCCGGTGACAGGTAGCGGGACGCATCGCCCATGGATGCGTGGAGCCGCGGTCTCGAGTGTGAGCTCGGGCCCACTTTGTTGAATCGTGCCTTGCCTGAACTTGTCGAAAAAGTTAAACACCACACCACATCACCGCCATCTCCTTCGGCCATTTCCAAGAGATATACCTGTTGCTTGCTCGCCTAATTGCGCTTTTCACACCCGCAACTTGCACCACCACCATGTCCAACTCGTCATTAAAACCATCGACCATTGCGGCCATTAGCGCCGGCACCATCGTAACAGGTCTTCTCGCATATGCCGCCTACTTCGACTACAAGCGACGAAACGACCCCGGCTTCCGCAAGCAGCTCAAGAAGGAGTCGAAGCGAACAGAGCGGGCGGCCAAGGAGGAGGCCGAGGCACAGGGCGCCGAGCAGAAGAAGGCGATCCGGGAGGCGGTAGAGCGGGCAAACGAGGAGGGCTTCCCCAAGGACCCAGAGGAGGTGGAGGCGTACTTTATGCAGGAGGTTGCGCAGGGAGAAGGCATGGTACAGAAGGGTATGGCTTGACTTTGGTCCCGCTCGTGGGACGTGGTGCTAATAATTCTTTGGCAGGTGCGGATAACGTCGAGGCGGCGCTATGCTTCTACCGCGCATTGAAGGTCTACCCCAACCCGCGGGAATTGATCAACATCTACGACAAGACGGTGCCCAAGGTAAGAAGCCATTGCTTGCTGGCCTCGTCTGACGATCCACTAACACCTGGCAGCCCGTCCTCGACATCCTCGCCGAGATGATCGCAGTAGACACGTCAATCCCCGTCGGCGGCAGCAAGACGCCGTCTGAGGCTGGCTCGGCAGGCGACCTCGAGTAAAAAGACGATAGCACTTCGATGAATTCAGCACGCATTTTTGGACCCCACTCCATCTGATGACGACCCCCTGTAATATTCTTGTACATGTATCAGCATCAGCGCGGTCGGTCGATTCCACGGCCGGCGTTCCGGTTGAGCGTGATCCATCTGGCTGGGGCGGGCGTTGGCATAGATGTGGGCTTCCAATGCATACAATCCAAACAGCACTCGGCATCTCTCCATTGACGTCATGCAGTCGTACGCTTGGGTACGCACTGCTATACTACAGATTACGTGTTCGACGTTAAGATGCATGCAGCCCATGCCTGATTGCCTGAACGCCTTGCTGACAATGACTTCCTCAGACTTGCAAATCATCCCAAATAATTACAGTACGCCCTCGAGCGATTGAACCGAATTGACTGCCGGACAGCCATGTCTTATCTAACACGCGCACGACGAGTCTGCTGGTGGCTGCGATGGGTTGATGTTCACGTCGATCACTGGACCCGGAGTTAGCATGCTCTTCACCGCAATGTGTACAACTGAACCTACTCTGACTCTGCCCTTGTTGACCTTCGCCCTCCATACCCGGTAATGCTTGCGCGATTCTCTTGAACAGTGCCTTTACATTGTGTCCGACCTTGGCGCTCGTCTCGATAAACATCAAGTTGTTCTTCTTGGCTTCCTCTTCACCCTGAGCCGTAGTGACCTCGCGCTTATCGTTCAAGTCGGTCTTGTTGCCGACCAGCACAATGATAACGTCGTTGCCGCGCTCGCCTCTAACATCGTCGACCCACTTCCTTGTGTTCTCGAATGTCTTCTTGTTCGTGATGTCGTATACCACCACGGCCACACTAGAATCGCGGATGTACGAGGGGATCAGCGAGCGGAATCGCTCTTGGCCGGCCGTGTCCCAGAGCTGCAGGCGGACGGTTCGATCCTCCAGGTACATGGTCTGCGGACAACAGTCAGTTTGTTGGTCAGGAATGCGGTCACTGCAGTGGTTCCACAAAGAGCGTACCTTGCTCAGAAAGTCGATGCCGATTGTCGCTTGGTAGGTGTTGTCGAACGAGTCGTACATGAAGCGGGTGATGAGAGACGTCTTTCCCACTATGAGGTTATGTTAGCAAACATGTTCCAAAGTGCCATGTCCGCGACAGTATGCATACCACTTTGTTCGCCCAGGAATACGAGCCTGCAGCCGGTTAGTATACGAAGTTGGTCTCCGCCGCGGAGGACAGCTCACTTGAACTTCTTGAGCGGGTTTGAGTACCCCGACTGCGCCATTGTGGAGTAGGGCTGGAGGTTCTATAAAAAAGCAAAAGACTTGGAGAGGTGCTATCCCAGAGTATCAGAAGCAATCTTCTGACCGTATGTCTTGGTGGGGTGTGATGTTTGAATAGGAGTGTCGGTCGGATCTGGAGGCCTTGTACCCTGGGCGGCCAACACCGACTACCGAGAGGCTACAGGGGTCTGGGGTGGATCCAGCCCGTGCGGCGCTTCGTTGGTCGGAATTTTGGGTCGAACTTTTTGCGACAGCCAACAACCCCACAACTTCCAACACTGCGAGCGTAAGACACAATGGCAGACACCGAAGCAGCACCCGCGCAGTACAAGCAGCCGAGTCGTAAAGGCAAGAAGGCTTGGCGCAAGAACGTCGATGTCACGCAGATCCAGTCTGGCCTCGAGGATGTGCGCGACCAGATCATCCAAGGGCATGTTCCAGTCTCACTACGCATACAGCAACCTATACTAACGATTCTACAGTGGTGTCATCTCTGAAAAGACGGCCGATGAACTTTTCGCCGTCGATACCGTTGGATCTGCCGAAATTCAAAAAGAGGTTGCGAGACGACACAAGCCTCTCAAAGTCGACGAGATCCTCGCCAAGCGCTCTGCCGTCCCCGCCGTATCCACAAGAAAGCGATTATCGGAAATTGCCGACGATGGCAAGAGAAAGAAGGCAAAGGTATCAGGCAAGGAATACGACAGGCTGAGGGCGATTGCATACGGAGGCGAGCAGGTCAAGAAGGACGTGGTGCAAGGTGGCGACGCTGCCTACGACCCTTGGGCCGTAGAAGAGGTCAAGGAAGACCCTCGGTTCACGTACCTGGAGAAGAAGAAGCCCAAGGTCGAGCCCAAGACCCTTAAGCACGCACCCATCTCGCAGGCAAAGACCGGCAAAGCCATCCCTTCCGTCCGCAAACCCACCGGTGGGAAGTCGTACAACCCCCTGTTGGAAGACTGGCAGAACGAGCTTATGCGCGAATCCGACAAGGCTGTCGAGGCCGAGAAGAAGCGCCTGCAGGAGGCTCGTGAAGAGGCTGAGCTGATGGAGCGAGCAGCCGCTGAGACGGAATCCGACTCTGGTGAGGAGAGCGTCTGGGAAAGTGAGTGGGAAGGTTTCAGCGACAAAGAAGACAAGGAGGCAAAGAAGAAGAGACCAGAAAGGAAATCCCTGTCACAACGGAACAAGATCAAGAGGAGAAAGGAGGCTCAGCGAAAGGCGGCCCACGAAGCAAAGATGAAGGCTAAGGAGCAACAAGTGCAGGAGATCAAGAGGCTAGCCAAGAGCGTAGAAGAAAAGGAAAAGGCAAGAGAAGCTGTCCGACAAGCTCTTGAAAAGAAGAATGCCGAACTGGCGGAGGAGGATGACGGCGAAGAAGTGGAGCTGAGGAAGAAGCAATTTGGCAAGACACCGTAAGTATCCGTTGATGCTCCATAGATTGACCATCTACTGACCTGCCTCAGTCTACCGGAAGCCCCACTCGAAGTTGTTCTGCCAGACGAGCTCCGCGACTCCCTGCGTCTTCTCAAACCGGAGGGCAACCTGCTCAAGGATCGCTTCAGGACTTTCCTGCTTCAGGGCAAAGTTGAAGCGAGGAGACCAGTCGCATACGGAAAGCAGAAGAAGTATCATCTGTCCGAGAAATGGAGTTACAAGGACTGGAAGCTGCCCAATTAGAGTTTTACGGAACGATAGGAGAAGACCGATTTACGTACGAACGCGATTGTTTCGCGACCACTATGTTCACCTATCCTCAGAATTACTCTTGGGTGATCTATTTATGAGCCCCAACAGCAGCCATAATTCGATGCAGGCTTGCCATTCTCCTGTGATAAGTGCTAATTTTTACAGGCAGATGCTGAATTATCTTTGCATCGCTCTCGAACGACATTGGTGGTGTGTTGCTAGTGAACCCTATCGGGCTTAAACTTTCCTACCTTTAAAGATTGGGGATCTTAACTTTACCTCTGAAGAAGCCTACGGCCATGTTGTACCTGACTTCAACGAGGATGAGCCTATGATAACCAACAAGGATCGAGTTGCCTTGGTCCACGAGCTTGTCCTCGACAAAGACGAAGCGTCAACCTACAAGCTTCTGATTCAGAGCTTCCGTACCAGTGATAAGGCGAAACGCTGCAGTCGGTACATTGTAGTAGATACGTGCTTGTCGTACGAAAAGGCCAGCGTCAAGCATAATACAGGCTATCACTTCCAAGGACTCATGAAGCATATTACTGACGCCGGGACTGTGGAAAATTCCACCTCTATAGTCGGGATTCAACAAACGAGATGCATATATCAAGATCGCTAGGGAGATGTGTAAATGGGACGGTTTTTCCAAGGCGAACATTCCCGAGGGTGTGAATGAGAAGTGCCGTCATGGAGGCCTACCTGAAACGGCCGTTTCGTATGCTGAGCATGAAGATCGAAAGAAACAGTGAAGTAGAAGCACTTCTTCTGGAATACTACAAAGTGAAAAACATTGGCGGGACGGGACTATGATTCTGCACAAGATGAATCACCCGTAATAACTTGGCGCCCAGGGGTTCCCCGACCTGTCCTCCAGGATCAATGAGGCGGCTCACGGTACGAACTGGGTTATCGATTACCCTCTGATGCTTACGTCTGTGGAAACACAATGGGTTGTCTTCAGAGTGGACATTGGGCTTGGCATGGTATCACCCAATCTGTATGTTATACAAGGGCTGAGCAGGTACCGATTGTGGGGTACATCAGCGCACGGGCTTCTACGCGTCATCTCACGAGTGAGACAGCTTAGACATACTCGAGTCTACGCGACTCGTCAGTAGTAACGCGTTCGTGCTCTTCCTCGGCGCCCCTTTCATTCTCGACATGATCTCTCATTATTTGGTGCGGCTCATTCCTGGCAATCCAATCTAAGCATGCCCTCCTCCCGCCGCAGACAGCACGAGCCAGCATCCAACAGCACCGATGAGAGCTCGCCCAAGTTCACACCCTCGCCTCGCTCTTCACAATCCTCTGATGACCAACTGTCTATGATATACGAACCGAACTCTTTCGAACTTCGAACAATCACTCCCCACGATGAACCCGCACATAAAGAAGAGCTGGGAGAAGAAGACGAGGGTTTCCTGCCTAGTACACGACGCGCCTCCTTAGACTCTGTCCAGAGCTACGAGCTGTATACTCCAGACGAGGATCGAAGAGTGCTCAAAAAGCTTGATCGCAGGCTAGTCGCGTTTATGGCCTTGCTGTACATGTTAAGCTTCTTGGATCGGTCGAGTGAGTACTTTCTGCACCTGGAAGGCTCAGAGGCGTGATATGTACGTCAGATGTGCGCAAAGCAGATCTGGACGGTCTGGTGATGGACGCTGATGGAATTAATAGACATTGGGAATGCACGTATAGCCGGTCTTGCAGATGATTTGAAGCTCAGCTCTACCCAATATGAGTGGTTGCTGTGGGCGTTCTATATTACATACATCCTATTCGAGTGGATGACACTCATGTAAGTCTTTGCAAATAGAGAATCAAGCGCATCTAATGCTGTTAGGTACCGCGTCGTCCCGCCGCACATCTACATATCCCTGTGTATTCTGTCTTGGGGCATAGTTGCGTCGCTTCAGGCAGTCGTAACGTCCTTCAGCTTCCTCCTCGTTCTGCGAGCCCTCCTCGGCATCAGCGAAGCGGCCTTTGGGCCTGGCGTACCCTTCTACTTGTCCTTTTTCTTCCGCCGGTCTGAACTGGCTTTTCGAACTGGACTCTTCATTAGTGCTAGCCCTCTCTCAGCATCATTTGCTGGAGCACTAGCTTACCTTATTACCAAAATCGGTGAGCACGGCCCACTCAGTCCTTGGAGGCTGCTCTTTCTGCTTGAAGGCTTTCCGTCGGTGTTGATAGCGGTTTGGGCATGGGATTTTGTACCGGATGGCCCGGGATCGGCGAAGTGGTTAAGCCCACGACAGCGCGAGATTGCAGTGATGAGGCTGAGATCGGAAAAGGAACATCAAGATCAAGATGACGAGGAGAAGTATCAGGGTGGGCGAAGAGGACGTGTCAACTTCCACGAAGTGCTCCAAACCTTAAAGGATCCGAAGTCTTACCTGACAGCACTTATGTTCTTTTCTTGCAATGTTGCTTTCAGCTGTAAGTGTCCCTGCACCAAACGCATGTGAAACGTATATTGACTTTGTATACTCACGTTCAGCTATGCCTGTGTTCTTGCCGACGGTCATACGTGATATGGGTTGGGAGTCCATTACAGCGCAAGGACTTTCAGCTCCACCTTACCTCTTCGCATTCGTCGTTGTGCTTACAACTGCGTACTACTCCGATCGCATGCAGTCACGCTCGACATTCATCATGCTTCACTCCCTCCTCGCCACACTCGGTTACGGTACTATTGCAATGTCCGGGTACCTGCAGTCCGATAAGACTATGGTCCGCTATATCGCGCTTTACCCCGCCGCTGCGGGCTTCTTCAGTGCTATCACGATTATCATCACATGGACACTCAACAACCAGGAAAGTGATAGCAAGAAAGGTACTGGTATGGCTCTTCTAAACATCATCGGTCAAATGGGTCCGCTCGTTGGTACGAGCATCTTTCCCGATGAAGATGGTCCTTACTATGTCAAGGGCATGAGCATCTGTGCTGGCTTCATGCTATTCGTAGGCTTCCTAGCCGCAATATTGAGATGGGTGTTGGTGAGAGAGAATCGTAAGTTGAAAAATGGTCGTAGCGCAGAATATGCGGGTGTACCTTTGGATGAGGGTGGAAGCATGAGAAGAGAAAGAAAGAAATTCATGTTCATGTTGTAATTGCAATAGCCAATAAAACATATTTCAAGACCCTCCCTTCTGCGACGAAGCGACATCGCATGTACTTCGACTGGTTGCGTGTCTGGTGGTGATGGTCATCTCTATCAACCCTAAGAGGCCTGTGTCCAGTGCCCTGTCTGGGTTGTGCTACCTCCCGGCCTAGCTGTCGAAGCATGACTTGTTACAGATGGTGTCGATGTTGGACCAGTTATTATCGATCCCATGGCACCATTTTGCTGGAGCAATTGATCTTGCTCGAACGTCGGCAAGCTAGCTGCTTGTACTGCTCCTTGGGCAAATGTAGTTGAGTGGGTCTGTGTGGGAGGAGCCGATAATCGATGGGAAGAAGCAGTGTGGGCAGGTAGGTGCACGGACAACGGTACTGTCACTTGCGTCGAAACTGGTGCGGGGGATCCAACCGCTCCACTGCTACGATTAGGCGTGCGATGATTCTTGGAAGGGGAAGGAGAAGGTCGAGTTTGTCGGTCTCGGTTGCGGTGGCAGGAGAAGCACATAAGCACTCCAATGACCAAGCAAGGGATGAATACCGCCATGAAGACCATACCTGCTCTGTCCCTTGCGTTCATAGTGGAAATGGGCACGTGTACATTGGGCTTGAAACAGAGTGAGCTGGTGAAGAGAACATGGATCCTGGGCAGTGACAGTTGACTTTGTATTCACGAACGACAGTCATGTTGATCATGGCGTAGTTACGTTCGTTGAAGTGATTGTTCGTTAAAAACGTGTCGATGATTCAAACGGCTTTCGTGGGCTGTATACGCTATCAGCTGACAAGGCCTATCTGCTCCTGTTTACAATAGATTGATCCGTTCGATCGAGTGTAGTTCGTCCCGGTACCGTGAAATTCGCGCATAGCAAACTTTCGACATTGACCCCATATTTCCCCAACTAGGAGCCGATCCCCTCCTGGGTCTTCCTGCCCGCGCTATCACACTCCTTTACCGCCTCCCTCCAAATATTTCATAAGTAATGTTTAGTCCGGCATAGGCCGAATCAGGCGACTGCGGTCTAACCATCTCAAGTGTTATATCGAACCCATCATACGGCTCATCTCGTAATTGCTGTCGTCTCTGCTGTCTCATAGGAAACTTATGTGTGGTATTGTCTCTGTGAATTCGTGGAGTGTATTGAGGCTGACTGGAGACATATTTCTTCGGCGCATGTCTCCCGGAGCGGTTGTAGGATGATGGTTTGGAATGTGGAGAGAAATACGCTCGATTGAATGGCGGCGAGTTGAAATAAGGCAATTTCATCTCAGCCGTACGTGATGGAGTTGGCCTTTGACTGTTTCTTCCCCTTCGGAGATGGCAATTGCACCAAAGACATAGAGCAGTAGAGACAATGTTCAGAGGAGGGAATACGATTACAGGTGACTCCGGCAAGATCTCTTCCATCCATGGCTTACTGCCGGTTCTTCTATAGAGTTCACACAGCGACGATAGATATATCAATATGCGTTGAGAGAGAGATGAGAACAGCTTAAAGAAGTTGGTACTGAGTTGGAACAATTCCTGGGGTTGGAGGGTTTGCTAGTATTGTTTGGCGAATCAAGCGTTTGTTATGGCAGACAATCGTTGGTGTATTTGCGCATCCGGCTTTCCAAACTATGGAACAGTCAATTAAGCTTGTGAAATATTGAGTCGGAACAGAGCATCGGTGATACTGTTCAAAACTTTAAATATTTAGGAGGTATGTGCGTGGAATGAGAACTAAGTGAAAATTATGCAGGCTGATTGTATCTTACAAGTCTGGTTGAGGAAACTGAAACTCCATCCTATGGCCATCCGCTCAGACGGCACTTCCTCACGATGAGATTGTAAAACCTAGTGCAATGCCCTAAGCGTTTGCTCAACTGCAATACCCAATCCTCCGACTCCCAGCACAGTCCATAGCCACTTGTTACTTAGCTCATCAACGCTTGGCCAAAAAGCATTCTTGTCAGCCCTGAACTTCTCCAGCTCGCGGAACTTGTCGGGTTGAGAAGCAGAGTATCGACGCTCTTGATGTTTCTCTTTCTCGGCATCGCCGCCAAAGAAGCGAAGGAAGGCATAGTTTGCGGCGGGACCTAAGAGCTCGACAGGAGCGAGCATGTCGGAACCGTAGAGCATGACGATGAATGATATGTGTACGAGGGCGTCGCCGAGGTAGCTTTAAGAAATTAGTGTGTGATGTAGACTTAGAACACGGGTACATACTTGGGGTTGCGGACAATGCTCCATACTCCCTCGCGCATAATGCCCTTGTTGCCCTCTGCCTTGAACTGGTCCAGCTGGTAGTCGGCGAGTGTCTCCAAAGCCAGACCAGATGAAAACAATCCGACGGCAAACACCTGAACGAAGGGATGGTAACCTGTCATAACAGCACCTTCATGCCGGAACGGCGCGGTAAATGGAAGGCTAATGAGCATCTGGAAGAAAGCCTCAGGAACGAAAACCTTGAACAGAGCACTGTTCCAGAAGCCTTCCTCCTTCTTGACCTCGGCATATCGCGGATCATCCTCACCTCGCTGGAGGGAGCGGCGAACGATACGGTAGAAGAGACGTCCTCCCCATAGTGTGACACCGGTAAGAATAACACGCTCGTGCCATGATAGACGACTGAATGCCTGGGAAACTGTGTAGCCTTGAGCGAGACGGCGTCCAACAGCTGACCACCAAGCGTTCACAACCTGACCGCTCGGCCAAAGCCAGTCCTTGGCTTCAACGCGGTTTGTGTATCGTGCAGCCCCATATGCGATGAGAGCCAGACCAGAGTGTAGGGTGAGCGAAGGGACAAGCGTGTCCTTCAAGATGCCTACGTCGAAGAGTGAAGCATTGTGAACATGCGTCTTGGAGTGAGTTGTATCCACGTAAGCCGAAGATGTCGGCCCAGCTGAGCGGTTCGTGGCGGATCTCGAACCACCAGAGCTGGGCTGCAGGTATAAACCGTGAGGTTTCTCTTCAGCGACCTGGAAGCGAACGTCAGGAGGACGCGTTGGGTCGCTTGACGACGAGCTGAACCAGCCAGACGCCATAATTTCAGCAGTATCTATCGAACAAGAGGTAGGTGGTGTGAACTGAGGTCGCGCGAGCTGTCACAAGCTCACGGCTTTAATCTTCTGGTCGCTGAAGCTTTCCCCGCATTCTGGCGGATGCAGGCGCGTCTGGCTGCGTCCCATTCGTCCGGTTGCAGGTGGATACTCATACCTCAATTAAGTACCCCCGTTATGATCCAATGATGAGGTTGTGTTTAATCAGCCATCCGGACTTTGTTTGAAGACTGTCGCGGTTCGCATATTGAAAGTGGATTCGCGTGACGAAAGACGATGATGTCATCATGGCCCATGCTTCGACGCCAGTACCCCACATAGTGCCCAGGGCAGGTACACGCGAACGTACCCCTCATAGCTCACCGGTCATACTCGACACGAGAAGCATGTAGAGCTCATAAACAACCGTCACACGTTCAGGCGTTGTAAACCCCAGTCATGGCATCCAAAAAGCCTCATGCATTCAACCCACCCTCCGTACCTGAACCCGCCCCAACCTACAATCAAGTCTGCATTACTCCTGTAGTGTCATCATCCAAACTGATCACTCTTGCCGGTCAAACAGGCATGCGAAAAGATGGTCCCATTTCCTCTGATCTCAGAGAGCAAGCAAAGGGCGCCTATGATAGCATTCACAAGTGCTTAGCCGCTGCTGGTGCAACACCACGGGATATCGTACGCATTAGACTTTGCTTAAACTCCCCCGAGTTGTGATTGATTCCTATCGACTTGGCTAACTATGCTTCCTTTCCAGGTCATGGTCCGACACTACATTGTGAAGGAAACTGGTGACCCGAAGCAGGACGAAAAGGACGTTGTAGATCGTGGCTGGGGAGAGCTTTGGATGGAATACATGGACAAGGAGGCTGAAGGACATAGGCCACCTGATACGGTGGTTGGTGTTGCAAGTTTAGCGACGAAAGAGCTGTTGTATGAATGCGAAGTAACGGCGCTGATTAGTTAGTACTCAACAAGTAGCTCCGTATTTCTTCGTGAGCCGTGTGCCTTAGAAGTCTGGTTACTTGCTGATTCAGCGTATTGCTGGATGCGGCAGAGGAGTGCTGAGTCATTTGCGCTTACATCCAAGCTCAGCCTTGCGCACTACTATCACGGCAACCGTTACGTGCATGGCGCTACGAAAGATAGAGACCCTAAAGATAAATCTGCGAGTTGTCCATAGTTATAAAGGGGAAGCTACAGGCCCTAGAACAGCGATTGCAAATTACCATGGCGGACTACAAACAACCCACAACAGATATAGTAGCTTCCATCAAGCATTCCTACCACGCCTATCGGCATACTGGAGATATCGACCGCAAAGGCTCTTTCTTCTCTCCAGACTGCATGCAAATTTGCCGACCAACGCCTTCCTATGCGGCAACCAATCGTGATGAGATAGTGCAGTATCTGCGAGACGCACAACAGGGGAAGATACCAATAGACGCACCTGTTCCATCCTCAACTTGCATCTCGGATCGCTCTGATTGTTATGCAACGGGATCACGGGCGACAACGCCAGTAAAAGAGCGAGGCGTCTACACCATACGCCCTTTGCGGCCCTGCGAGTTCGGATTTGGCTCCGATGACATCACTGCGCCTGTTGGCTTGACTGTGGAACAGATGAAATCGAGAGCTATTCAGGAAGGATGGGTTGGAATGCGCGTCAATTTGTGGGACGAAGGAAGGGAAGGAGGTCTTTTGGTGAAGGTTCAATACTGGTGGCGCCTCAGAGAGATTGCGAATAATAAGCGATTGGCGGGCGGTCATTCAGGAACGGGCTGGGATCAATGTTTGCACGATATCATGTTCCTTGGTCCTAAGGACGGCACCGAAAACGAAGAAGAGCTGGAGTTGCTAGAATAGAATCCGCGGACAATGAAGAGTTCCGGAGTTGCGCATTGTGTGCAAATTCTAGAAGAGGTAGCAGACTAGCAGCCGTTGCAGGGCTTGGGAGGGGTATGATCGGCTAGACCTGCCACTTGGAGCTTGGAGCACCCGTACAGAATGCCATCAACGAATAATGAAGATAAGCATATCATATACTTGCATGAAAGGTTCCTACCTCCTTACTCACTGTACCTCCTCGTTCAAATACTCCTACATTCATAATGAGGCTCTTATCATTCTTGTGTCTACTGTCGTCTATTCAGCTCTTCACAAGCGCTCGAGACATTACCTTTCCACCAGTCTCTGGATACTCGTCGCAACAAATCATTCCTCAGCAGAATCTTGGATTAGATATCACTCATGCGAAGTTCGCAGGTCTGATGACATATGCCAATCTGCCTTATGTACACTGTTTGGCCCCGGAACAGCAGGATGTGGTGCCATTTGACATTGCAATCCTAGGCGCACCATTCGACACAGTGGGTCAAGCTTGTCCTGTGGATGACACTCGGAGTGTCACTGTTGGACGTATCACTTTGGAGAAGGCTAATACCCGGTAGGGTGTCACCGCACGACCTGGAGCGCGCTTCGGCCCGAGTGGAATTCGACAGGGCTCGAGCCGGATATCACCAGCCAGTGCTTGGTCCATATATACAGGTACGTTGCAGTGCTGTGGGGGTGTGCGTGTAGGGACTTGGACCTGGTTCCGCAAGCACGGACTTCACTTGATTGTGCGAGGCGGTGATACTGGTAACGGCGCTTGTCACACCACGTTACCTTGACGTGTCGTGTTCGTAAAGCTCGCGCGCCAAATCACCTGCTGTGCTATGACCAGCACGTCGATATTCTTGAATTTCCACTTGCCATCGCAAAGCTTCGCTCGCCATTATGAGATAAGACACGAATGCATTACTAAAGCTTCCCAGGTGAGAACGTGCTTGAGGATTGGGCAAAAATCGTTGACTGCGGTGATGCGCCATTGACATTCTTGGTGAGGTGATTCCAGCAATACAGAGAAGAACGAGAGCTAACCAGTTTGGAAGGACAACACTGCAGCCTTAAAGCAGCTTGACAAAGCACATGAAGTTGGTAACCCCAAGTTGTGATCGACTCAGGCATCTAACTGCCATTCTCAAGATCGTGTCCGCAAGACCCACCAATTCGAGCGAGCACACAACACCAAAGATTGTGACGTTAGGTGGTGATGTAAGTATCTGCGCGAATTGCATGTGAGACATACACTGACTTCATACACTTGTTATTAGCATACCACAACGCTATCTGCACTGCGATCGACTCACAACCATTGGGGCCCGGTTAGCGTCATCCACTTCGACAGCCATTTGGGTAAGTTAGTAATACTACAGCCTGAACTTTGCTGATTACTCGGAAGACACGTGGGACCCTGAAGTACTCGGTGAGCAAAGTGATCCCGATGCATGACTAGCTACTAATATACCGCAGGTGGAGGCATCTCCCATTACGCGTAAGTCTGCATGTCGAAATCGACTCCATAACTTGCTGAAACTTCAAATCAGAGGTGTGAATCACGGAACATTCCTGCATATCGCGCATGAGGAAGGTTTGATTCGAAACACTAGTATTCACGCGGGCATTCGAGCTCCCATGGGACGGCCAAAGGGTGATCTGCGAAATGATATCCGATGCGGGTTCGAGATTGTCAAGGCCAGAGAAATCGATCGATTCGGTGTAGCAGGTGTCATTGCTAGGCTGAAGTCTCGGGTTGCTGGAACAAAGGTCTACATCAGTGTCGATATCGATGTGCTTGATCCTGCATTCGCACCTGGTAAGTCACTGTTGGGAACATACCTCTGTGCGACAGAACTGTCACCGTGCCACAAACGGTCGCCTTCAACGCAGCAGCGATATTGCGAAGTAATCACTCTCGAAGGTTAGGTAACGGTGTAACTAACATAGAATGATAGCTACAGGAACAGCCGAAGTCGGTGGCTGGACTACGCGAGAGCTCTTGTCCATATTGGATGGTCTCGAGGGACTGGATGTTATCGGAGCAGATGTCGGTAAGTATCCTTCGGTTTGGAGCAAGTCCACTGTGAGATTGGTGAATGCTGACATAATAAACCCTACACAGTTGAAGTGGCTCCCATCTACGACAACCCGGGTGAAACCACCGTTCTGGCTGCTGCAGAAGTTGTGCACTCTCTTATCGCACTAATGGTAAAGTCCCCTTCTTAGCAAAGACAACACGGTACGATGCTAGCGATTGCACTGTGGATGTCGATTGGCAATACA